AAATAATCAAATCAAATATATAAAAAATATAAAAAACCCTCTGTAAATACTGTATATAAAAAACTAATAAAAATTGCAAAATTTAAAGAGAAACTATTCACTTTAAAATTTAATACCATATAAAAAGAAATTTCTTTCTTTAATGTTTATTTTACTTCTTTTGTGTTTATATTATTTTTAAAAAACAATGGTCTGATTTTATTTATATAAATCTATATTATAATTTCGTGTTGAAAAAAAATAATTTATAAACCATTATTTTGTAATATTATATAAATTTTTTTCCATTTGTTTGTGTTTGTTTTCTCATAGTTTTTTTCTACCATTTGATATATAATAATAATAATTGTATATATATACTCTACCATACAGATCCTTCATAGATTTTAATAGTTCAAAAATTTGATAAAGGGTTTTTTTTAATACTGACCAAAAAAAAATAAATACAAAATAATCTAATTTTAATAATAGATAAAATAAAGTTAATATTTTTTTAATTAAAAAATGGGGGGGCGTGGTTTGTAATTAAAATCAAATTGATACATTAAAAAAACACAATATTTAAAAAGGAAAGATGTGTGGTTATTTGTTTTGTTCGGTTAAATTTATCCCATTTAATTATATATCAAATTAACCATTATATAACTCATCATTCTCATACACAAAAATACAAAAAAATAAAAATAAAAGCATGTTAAATTTTTTAACCCCATCTTAATATAAAAAAAACAATAGTATTATTACATATATATATATTTATATATTTATTAATTTATGTGAAAAATATTTTATATATTTACTTGTATTTGAACACAATTAATGTTTATATATATATATTATCAAATGCATATAAACAGTAAAAAAAAAAAAATGAAATCATACAATGCATAAAAATTAGAAGAAAAAAAAAAAGACTATATTGTGTGCATGTGTTTATTTTTTTTTGTGACAAGTTTTTATTCAAACACAGCCACCATTACTGTTATTTATTAAAAAAATAGTAATTTAATTTATAATCCATAAATAACCATCATATAATTATATATTATTATTTTATTTATAAATTATTTATTTATATTTTTCTTTAAAAAATGATAAAAAATATTTTTTATCTTTATTTCATTTATATTATTATTATTATTAAATATTAAAAATGTTCATAAACCCAAATAACTCCTCAACAAAATTTAACTATAATAATTTTAATAATAATAATAATAATAATATTAATAATAATTTTAATATAAACAAAATTACAAATCAATATGATAAACTATTATCAATAAATCAAAATAATAATTTTAATCAATATAAAGAAATAAGAAAAAAACTTTTCACTCCCAATCAAAGTCCAAAACAAGAATGCTTAAATAACTCAACAAACCCTATAAATAAAGCAATTCCATATATTGATATATCATCCCCAATGCTTCATCCCAATAACCAACAATTGGATCAAGAAAAAATAATATCGAGGCTCATGTTAAGTACAAAAGAAGATGATGATGATATACCACCCGCTATTACTCCACCACCAATTTTTTTAAATAATGATAAAATTAACTTGAATAATAATTATAGTAATAATATAAATAATAGTGATTGTAATCATACTAACCAAAATAATAAAACTACCATTAATTTAAATAATAATGAAAATAATATATTTTTAGATGAGGTAAATATTGACTATTTAAATTATTTTAAACCATCATAATATTAATAATTTTTTTTTATTAGATCCATCTTTTTACAATTTCTTTAAGAGATTTCGTTAAAAAAAGTCCAAGAAAACAAATTAAAGATGATGAAATGAATATTGAAAGTTTTTTTGTGGGTTTTTAATAATTACTTTATTATCGAATTTCCAACAATTATTAATAGTTTTTTATTTTTCTAAATTCTAAAAAAAGATTCCCTCTAAAAACAAATCAAAAAAAAAATTATAATGGAAAAAAAACTGGAAACTAAAAAAATATATATTTATTAATTTAAATATACTATAAATAATAAAATTTTAATTTAATTTTTCTATAAATATCTTTTTCTTTTTTTTTTTTTTTTATTTTGCCCTTTTTTTTTATTTTATATTTTTTTAAAAAAAGATATATTTCTTTTTTTAAATTAATAATTTTTTATTTTTATTTTTATAATTTAAAACATAATCCTCTTGAGCTATATTTGAGGCTGATGGTGATAAATGTCTTCTTAAGAATTTTATGGTGAAATCTGGGATTAAAGCTATAAATATCATAATGATTACCATACAATAGAATTTGAGTAAAGCCAAAGCAGTCATATAAACCCCATACATATTTGGAATTTCAGATAAAATGGCACTATCGACTAAACTAATGACTAAAAATACAATCATACTGCACCAAATACCCAAATGAACAATAAAATTCCAATGCTTCATTTCGACCGCTGCTTTGAGGAGGATAGCGAGTACACCAAAGGTCGAAACAAATGAGCCAGCAAGTTCTTTACCACCAATTTTACCCCAGTGATTCATAATATCGTCTCCATTTAAAAAGAAATAGAGTCCAAAAAAGAAGACTATACTGTGATATAAAGCGCCAAATAACCAAGAGAAAATACTTCTGTATGAAAAGAGATGACAATTTTGAACTTCTTTGTATAATTTTGGATATTTAGGAATAACACGTTCGTTTACATCTTTTTCAAAGAGGGCCATAAAGTATGGTGGAATAGAAGTCATTAAAATATTGAATGTTGTTACAATCCATGAGTCATAGAGGGTCATTGATGTCCAACCAGAGTAAATAGAGAACCAAAATTGACAGAGGAAGAATGCCATATTCTTGTAGAAAGAATATTTGATACATAATGTGTTACGAACCATCGAATATCTTCCGTGGACTGTAATTAGACGTGCTAAATGTCTAAATCTTAATAATGAATAATCGGATGCTCTAGCGGCTTGTGAACCTTCGTTACCATGAATACCAACACCAATATGGGCCTCTTGAATCATGGATACATCATTTGCACCATCACCAATGGATAAACAAATCTCTTTGGTAGCTCTTTTAACTAAACGAACAATAAGTGCTTTTTGAAGTGGGGTAACTCTACAACAAACTACTGAATGACACTTGGCAGCAATCTTTAAAAAGTCTTCACTATGATCTTTTAATACAAAAACAAGGGTTTCACCATCAATAACCATTGAAATTTCTTGTGGAACTTCAGTTGATGACATTGGAGTAATATAGTTTTTAATTGCTTGTTGAATTTGACGTTGGCATTCCTCTGTTGTGGTTGCATTAATAATTACAATTGGAATTTCTGGTGTTAAAAGTTTACATGAATAACCAATATTAATAGCTGTTTCTTGTTTATCACCTGTAATAATCCAAATTCTAAATAAAATTAAAATTAAAATTATTATTAATATTTATTTACTTTAAAAGCACCTGTATATATAAATAATGTAAATAACCTACCTAATACCAGCTTTAAGAAGATAATCAATAGCTTCTGGAACACCTTCTTGAAGTTTATCTTCAATAGCAGTACAACCTACTAATTGGAATCCACGTTCAATTTGATCATTTAACTTTTCTATTTCGACTTCACGATCGTGAATTAAAGTACTGGCATCGTGATAAAGTTGGGACCAATTATCATATTCTTCTTGAGATATTTCACGTTTTGCTAAAATTAAAGTACGTAAACCCTCTCTTGAGAAATCTGTGATATGTTCTTTAGTTTTTTGTAGGATTTCAGAATTCTTTTCTTCTTCAGAGAGACGTTCCATCATAATTGAATCGGCACCTTTAGAATAAAGTATGATTTTACCACTCTCTGGATCTCTTAATAGGATAGACATTCTTCTACGATCTGAACTAAATTCCATAATTGCTAAAAGGTCATAATATTTATCTTGGGCAAAAACTCTAATTTGAACTTGATTGGTGGTTCTGTTAACATAGGTAAATTGATTATTTCTAGCGCAATCACAAAGAGCAATTTCATCTGGACTTTGACTTTGATATGTGATATCACCGCTCATGTCGTTTACTTCGGATACAGCAGCATGACAGAGTGACATATTTAATAAGAATTCTCTAATTGGGGCTTCGTTCTCGGATGGTGATTTATCTGATTGAATTAAATTACCCAATTGACCATTTAATGCATCATCATACATAACACCATTGATTGAACATTTTGAAAACAACATTTTATTCTCTGTAAGAGTACCTGTTTTATCACTGAAAATATATTTGATGAGTGCTAATTCGTCATTTAAATTTGAATTCTTAACAGACATATATTTGTGTGCAATAGATGCTCCTCCCATAGCCATTGATGATTTTAAATTGCTTAATTCTACATCACCCAAGTCTTTATCTTTATCATTTAATTCTTTTTCGTCGCCTCTCATCAAAGCAATTTCATATTCCTTATTTTCCTTGTAACTCATTCTTGTATCCCATTCCATAAACTTGGCTTGTGAAATTTTAACAACTTCGAGGGTTACTAAATATCAAAAAAAAAAAAAGTTAAAATCTTTTCAAATTTCTTTTTTAATTATTTTTTTTTTACTTACCCATTAATGACATTGGAATTAAAAATGAAAGAATTGCGAAATATGAAACAAAGTTTTTAACGATAATAAAACCTAAGGTATCTTCAACGGCCTCATCCATAACTCTCCACATATACCATGACTCTCTTGCAGTTTTCCATTCGAATCTTGAAGCCAAAACGGTTGCAATAATAACTAATAAAACTTTAAAGCAAAAAATACCAATTACAGATTTTCCCAATCTCTTTTCAACTTTACTGAATTTACTTGGTGGATTTTTTTGATTTAAACTTAATTTGGTGTCTTTACCACAATATAATACAACACCAATAATACTTGGTGTATTTCTTAATTTTGCACCCTAAAATAAAAAAATGAAAAATGATTAGTATGTTATATCAATAAATATATTAATATTATAAAAAAAAACTTACTCTTAACATTAATTGTTTTTCATTGACTGAAAAAGTAGTATTATCATCATTATTGGTAACCTTGCCTTTGAATTTATAAAGATTATTGTTTGGAAGTTCGCACTCAATGTTTGCGTTGAGTGATAAAACTTGCTCTTCTGTTAAGTTGTATGATTCTTTGGCAGCTTTAAACATTTTTAAGTTGGTTTCACCATCCAATTGTGAGGTTTCGACATAACATACACCATCCTCTAAAGTGGATGTTAAAACTAAAATATCTGATGGGAATGGTTGATTATCTTCAATTTTAATATAGTCCCCAACTTCAATATCCTTACTTCTTATATTTCTAAACTCGCCATCTCTATAAACTTTATATTCTCTGTAATTAGAGTCTTTATCGGATTGGAATCTCTTAAAATCTTCGTATGCTTCTTTAATAGCTGTAACTACCAATACAAAAATTAATGGTAAAATTGATGTTACTGGTGATAATGGTGATACTTGTGGAATTAATGTAATAATACAAATTGCTAAGAAATAAATCTAAATAATAATTAACAATATTAATATCTTTTTCAAATTTCTAATATCTATCTGCTGCTAATTGTGTATTTACATTGGTAATACGCCTGAATTGTTCATACAAATTCTTAAATAAAAAGTTATATCTACAAAATAAATAAATTTATACATTAATATTTTAAAAATATATAAAAATCATTATTATCATTATATTTTAATAAATTTATATATAAATAATTACCTATTATATTTTGTTGTAGAAATTTCATTTGATTTGTACCCTTTATTTTTATTTAAATCTTCGGTTTTGCTCGACCTAATCTCGACGATCGGATATGATGGTCTTGCTTTTTTTCTTCTTAAATTTATTCTCATTTTCATTTTTTTATTTTAAAAAGAAAAATTCGATATAATATTATTTCCTTTTTTTTTTAAAAAAAAATAAAAAAGAATGAATGAAAATAAAGAAGCTATAAAAAAAAAAAAAAAAAAAAGTAATTAATAATTCTAATTCTATATATTATATTACAACTATTGTTATTTGTTATTGCTATCGTTAATAATAACAATTAAAAACGAAAATATAAAAATAAAAATAAATGCAAAAAAATAATAAAAAATAATAAAAAATCGATTATAATAATTATTCCATGAAGGGTGTGTGTTTGTATAAAAAAAATAAAAATTTTATTTTATTTTTTTTAAATTTTATTTATTTCATTTTTTATTTTATTTATTTGGTAAAAAAAGAGAATACCCAATTAGTTAATTAATTTATGACTAAACAGATAATGCCACTTACAAGAATTTATATGATTATTTATAAATAAAAATAAATAAAAATGATAAAAAAAAATACGTTAGAAAAATAAAAAATATTTTTTAAAAAAAAAAAAAAAAATATTCAAAAAAAAAAAAATAACTAATTTTTATTTAAATTATTTTTTTATGATTTGTGCCATTTAGTGCCATGCGATTATGAGATTGATGATTTTTTTAAATGTTTTGAGTGTAAGTAAAATAAAATAAAAAAAAAAAAATTCAAAAAAAAGTGAAGTGTAATTGTGGTTGTGGGGTTAGTGTTTTGGTGAAATATCTTCGTGTGATAAGTTTTTTTTTTTTATTTAAAATCATTAAAAATAAAAAGTTTTATTGTTCTCTTTACAAAAAAGAGTTTGTTTATTATAAAGAGTAGAATCAATATTTAAATTTTATTTTTAACTTTGTCTTTTTTGTTTTTTATTTTTTATTTTTTTTGTTTTTTTTTTTGTTTTTTTTTTGTTTTTTTTTGTTTTTTTTTGTTTCGAGATTCGGGATTTTTTTTATTTTTTTTTATTTTTCAATTAATTAATTAAAGTTAATTAATTAATAAATAAATTAATTGAAAAATAAAGTGATTGGATATCTTTACATCTGCATAGAGTTATTATTATTATTATTATTATACCTATTATTATAATAATGTTATTCGATCCAACCAGAATCTAAGCCTATATTTGAATCGTAGATTGAATATTCTCTATGTGAAGAGGCGATATTAAATTTGTTTAATACTAAATCGTTTTTACAAGATTCAAATCTATCCATTGCAGTTTCTTTACCAATTGAATACATTCTTAAGGTTACAAATCTTTCTTGATAAGATTCTTCAACATGAACCTTAAAGGAGTTTCTTGATAAGTGACCATTATGATTTATCATTAATTCTTTTAATAATTTGAGATTATTATTACCTTCGATAGTTGGGTTATTATCGTTAATATTATTATTATTATTATTATGATTAATATCTTTATCGTTTGGAATTAACAGTTTAATGTGAAATTCAAAATAATTTGATGGTGATAATAGTTTGTGTTTGATATCATTTTCCGGTACACCTTTGCATGATGCCAAAATTTCAATTTTAACTCTTGAGACATGGTAACCTTCTAATAACAATTCGAATGCGATTTGAAAAGCTTTTAGTTGAACTGTATGGAAATCACCAGAATGATGGGATGAGGTCATCATTTGTTTACCATAAACACCCTTTGATAACTCTATTAAAATTGATTTTAATTTTCTTTTAACACAAAATTCTTTAAAACTCTTTACAAATTCATCATCTTTTTCTTTCGGTTCATCTGTTGGTTGATGTTTTTGCGGCGGTTGCTGAATTGACACATGGATTTCGAATGTGCCTTGATATAAATGATTTCTAAGCATATCAATCATTTCTAATACACTTTTATTTGAGGACTGACTACCAATATAATAAAAGCCATAGAGCTGATGAAAAGTATTTTTAAAGCCTTTTGGTTAAAATAAAGTTACTAAATATTAAAGTGTTTATTAGTATTTTATAATAATAATAATAAAAAAAAAAAAAAGTAATAAAAAAAAAAGTTATGAATGCTTACTCCCAATCCTTATTTTCAATTGTTTCAATGTTATCAGCTGAACCAACTTGGTGATTAATGAATACTTTATTGAACTGATTGCTTTTACATAATACCATTGTTGATGTAATTATTGAATGGTTATTGCCAAGCTGATTTAAAAAGCTGGGTAAATTGTTTTTGGTGAATAAATACCAATTTAAGTTTATTGGGTTTTCGGTAATAAATAACTGAATATCTTTAAAATAAACGGTATCATTATTATAATTATTATTATTATTAAAGTTATTTATTATTTCTTTTATTAATTTATTATTTAATAATAGTTCTTTAAATTTATTATAATTATTATTATTTGTGGTAATGGTGTTTAAAGTTTCTTCTTCATTTGATAATATTGTTTTTAAAATATCAACAGATTCCGTATTATTTGATTGGATGAACAAATGATTATTAATATCTGTATGATTACCATCCTCTTCTATTTGAGTTTCTAAAATTTTTTTAAATTCTGACAATATCATTTTAATATTATCATATTTGCTCCTTTGTTTTATGGTGGTATCGACTGTTAATGTTTCTATAACTGCACCTTCTTTTGAATATAAAGAAGGTTCAATATAAACTAATTTATTAAGATTATAACAAGATGACATTATTATTGTTTTATGTGTTTTATAAAATATAATTGTTGATTTTTACAAATGAATAGTTATAATATAAATAAAATATTTAGTTTATATACAAAAAAAAAACATATTCTTCGAAAAAGGGTATCATGAGAAAATAAAATAAAACAAAACAAAAAAAAAAAAACAATATAATTTTATATAAGAAATATATGAGAATCTATTTTAAATACTAATAAATAAAATTCTAAATCGTGTGAACATTATTATTTGTCTGTGATCGCTTGCAGATTAGAGAATTTTGTTGTTGTGGGTGTTTTTGTGCAAGTGGATTTCTTTTATTGATTTCTTTTTAAAAATTTTATTAGTTTTAGTTAGTATTTCAATGAAAATTAGATAAAAAATTGAAAAAAGAGAAAAAACAAATATACAACAAACCAAAAAACAAAAAATATACAATCCTCATTTTAAGAAAAATATTAAAAAAAAAAAAAATTAAAAAAAAAAAAAATTTTAAATTTAAAATTGAAAAAATTGGAAAAAATACGAAAATAGACAATGTTTTTTCTTAAACCACAAATATATAAATAGTAATTACATGAATAATTATATATATCTTTTAACAATTAAAGTCTCATTTATTAGTATTTTTTTATTTGAATATTTTTATTTAGTTTATTAAGTTTATTTATTATAATAAAAAAAATAAATAATTATCATTATTATGAATAATTTATTAACTATTTTAATAAACTATCATTATTATTAATAATTTATTGGTGATAGCAATAATATTTCTAACTGCCTAAAAAAAAAAACAAAAAAAAAACAAAAAAAATATATTTTTTTTATTTATTTTTATTTAATTTTTTTTTTAAAAAAATAATTTTTTTTAATTTTTTTTTTATTTTTAATTTTTTTATTTCTTTTTCGTTAAAAAAAAGCCTCCATAACCCAACGTTATTATTTTTTTTTTCCAATCACTCAACGAGACCATAGACAATTATTATTCACACTTAAATATTTCTAGTACAAACAATTATTTCTAGATATATTGTTTTATTTCATTTAATGTAAAGTATTTGTAATTTATTGTTTAATAAAAATAAAAAAATAAAATAAAATAAAATAAAATTAAAAATAAATAAAATTTTTAATTAAAAAAATAATTTAAAAATAAAAACTACAATTGTAGTATAATAAAACTAAATAGTAATAGAATACAAATAATAATAGTAATGATAATGATATAATAGTAATAATAGTAATAATAATAATAATACTACTATTATTATTTAGTTATTAAATAGTCATTATATTGTTTTATTTAAAATAAAAATAGTTTATAATAAACAAAAAAAAAAAAAAAATAGTTAATGTTAATTGAAAAACATGTATAAACAAATCAAAAACTCACATACACTCGTTCACCAAATTTAAACACTTATACACAAATATCATTATCACAAACATAAACTTTTTTTTTTTAAAAAACAAAAACAATAATAAAAATAGATTTAAAAATAAAAAAACATACATTAATAAACAAATATAGAAATTCAACCACGTTCACCATACATTATATAACCCCATATTCCACCATTTAAATAAACCGGTAGTGGCATCAAATCAATTTATATTGTGTGTTGTGTGTTAAACAGATTGTTTTTTTTTTTTTTTTTTTTTTTATAAAGGGGGGGTTGTTTGGGGGTTGGGTTTTTTAAATAGAGTTATTGTAAATAAATATTTATTTTATTTGTTTTCCTATAGACATTTTTTTTTTAAAAATATCTTTTTTTCAATATAACTTTTTTTTTTTTTTATATTTTTTTTATATTTAATTAACAATAATTTTTAAAAAAGGAATTATATTAATAAATATAACAGTTTTTGTATAATAAAAGTGTATATTGGAAATATTTATTTATTTATTGTTATTTAAAAACTTTTGTTTTCGTTTTTTTATACTTCAAATAAACATCAATTGCATACTAATTTAAATATTTTATTTTTAAAATCGTTTAGTTCCAAAATAAATTTTTTTTTTTTTTTTTTTTTTTTTTTTTTTTTTAAATTTTTACCTTAAAAAAAAAGAATAAATAATATTTTTTTTTATAACCCTTTTAAAAAAAAAAAAAAAAATAATTTTTTTTAAAAAAAATGAATGAAGAGGATAAAAATTTAGGGAAAAAAATGAAACAAAAAAAAAAGGACAAACCTTGAATCCCAAACAATGTGGCAAACCCCAAATAATATTAAGGGGGGGAAAGAGACCCCCAAATCGGTGGGGGGTGTAAAGGGCATAGAGTCATTAATTCATTTAAAAAGCAGTTTGGATGAAAATGAAGAAAATAATATAAACCTTCATCACCACCATCAAAACGAGGAGTATGATATGAATAGCAGCGGCATTATTCATTTAGGTAGCGAAAACATTGATCACCACCATCACCAACACTATGGGGATAATATACACAGCAATGGTTATAATGAAAATGATCATATGGGAAATCATCATCACCATCATCAACATCCACATCAACATCAACATCATCAACATCAACATCATCAACATCAACACCAAAGTCAACACCATCACGAAAATGAAGAATATCAACACCACCATCATAATAATGGTCATCAACACCAACAACTCCAACCAACACTACAACAACAATCACCATTAATAATTCACTTACAACAAAATGATGATATTGAGACCATTGCACCAGAAGATCACCATCATCACCAACAGGCATATAATCTTGAACAAATTGATCATGGTCATCAAGAAGATCCAACTACAGTTATACCTACTTTAGGTAAAGGTCAAAGAAAAAGATCATCAAGTACGCTTAATAATAACAATAATAATATGAATAGTAATAATAATAATAATCATCATCATCATCATCATCATCATATGAACAATAATAACATGAGTAATAATAATAATAATAATAATAGCAATAATAATAATAATAATAATAACAATAACAATAACAATAATAATAGTAATCAATATAAAAATATGGATCAGCATTATAGAAATAAACAACCAAAATTAAGATTTTATAAAAAGAAAGAGGACATAAACCATCCAATATATAGCTCATACGATCAGGCTTATCACCAACAGCAACAGCAACAGCAATCACCAATCATCCATTTACAACAACATGAAGAAATCGAAGAAATTCATCATCATAACTATGATAATTATCATATGCATCATCACCACAATCATCATGGCCAAGATTCAATGATAGAAGGTCAACAAAATATGGGCTTAGAAGATCCAAATATGCCAATGCAACCAATTATTCATTTACAAGCATCATCCGCTCCATCATCGCCAAATCAACAATCAACAATTATGTTATCAGCTAATAGTATAATTGAGTTAGGTGGCCATAGTGATATGATGATGGACGATAATTCTCATCATCACCACCGTCATCATGATATGGAAATGATGGATCATCACCACCACCATCATCACCATCACCAATCACAACAATCACATCACCACCAAAACGAGTCAACTTCTGCATCATCTTCAATTTCGACAGGTACAACATCATCCAAAGATTTAAGTAATACTACCAATAGCTCATCATCCTCATCTAAAGATTCAGCTCCAGTTAAAAGCCGTACACCAAATGCTATCAAACAAAAGAAATATAGAGATGGTTTAAAAAAGAAACAAGAAGAGCATGAAAAAAAATTACACGACTTAGAGGTTGAAGTATTGTTCTTAAGAAAAGAGGTTGAAAGATACAAATTAATTGAACAACAAAGAAATATTTATGCTAAAGAATTATTAAAAATTAAAGGTTCCGATGGTCTTAATGAATTAAATACAGAGCTTTATCAAACAACCACTACCACAACAACAACCACTACCACAACAACACTTGTACATTCAGATCCACAACAAACAAAAGAAAATTTAAATAGTATAATTAATAGCAGCCATGATTATAATCAATTATATAGCCTAACAGAAAATGATTTAAGCTACATCGAATCCTTACCAAATACATTTAGTTTTAAAGAAGTTATAGAGTCCTTAAGAGAAAAAAGAAAAAATAATTTAATACCCGACGAAGAAGAAGAATTTGATGATAAAAATAAATTAAATAGTAATCATAATGAAAATAGTATAGATAATAAAGATAAAGAAAATATAGAAATAGATAATAAAGAAATCACAGAATTAAAAGAAAATAAAGATAGCTATAGTGAAGAAAATATAAAAGATAATAGTATTAATAGCAACAATAATAATAGTAATAATATAAAGGAAAGTAATGAACCAATTTTAACAAAGAAACCAAAAATAGAATGTAGTGGTATTAGTGACGAGTTGTTTTCAAGTTTCTTTTATAATAAAAAGGAATTTTTCCCAGTTTTTAGTGAAACAACCATTGTAAATTTAGGAGACGATATTCTAGTTTGTACTAGAGCATTTGAATGTAAAACTTTTTCCCAACATGGTGTATGTTTTAAATGTGGGGAGGTTAGAAGACAGTTTATTTTAAAAAGAGAACAAGAAAATCATATAGAGCATCTGCAACATCCACAACCAAATCAATATGAAGGTCAAATAATACAAACCACCTCATCACCACAAACAGTACCAGTAGTTAGTAATACCAATAATACTAATAACACCAATAATAATAATAATCATAATAATCATAATAATCATAATAATCATAATAGTCATAATAATATTAATAATATTAATAATATTAATAATAATCATAATAATATCAATAATAATCATAATAATATCAATAATAATAATATTAATAATATAAATAATATAAATAACAACATCACAAATAGTAAAGAAGTTTCAAATAATAAAGAAAATAGTGGCTCAAATAATGCTCTTACTAGTTCACCAAGCAGTACCTCGACCAGCACATCAAGTAGCACCAAAGGTAGAAAAAGACAAAAGAGAAGTAAGGAGGATAAAGAACCTCCATCTCCTCAGCCAATACCTACAGTCTCAACATCCAAAAGCGGAAGAAAAAGAACATCAAGACTTTCCTTATCCACCGATCATTTATTAAGTAGCAGCGATAATCAGTCTCCTTAAAAATAATAAAAAAAACCTGTTATAAAATAAAATAAAATAAAATAATTCTTTTTTCTAAAATCTCGGTTTTAGATAATTAATAAATAAATAAATAAGTTTTTTTTTTATTTCTAATATTTTTAATTTATGCATTATTATTAACTTGTTTAAGTTTGAATGATAATCTTTCAACTTTTGGAATTTTATTTCTAAAATGGACAATAACACCAGCGATAACTACAAATGCAGCAATACCAACAACAATACCTGCAATTGCACCAGCAGTTAACGAGTTTCCAAAATAGGTTTTTTCTCCACCATCACCACCATCACCTCCATCTGTACCACCTGTACTACCATTGTTACTTGAGCATTCTTTATCTTTATTACTATTTAAAAGGACACCTAAAGTACCTCTATTATATGCGACAGAGTGTTTGCAACCTTCAATATCGCTTTCTGTATTTGCTTTTGGATCATAGCTCTTGAAAATAATATTTGAAAAACCATTACCTTTTAAATTGTTAGATTGGATCAAGGTGGTGTTCAATTGGGTTCCATCTGTTAACAAATTGACATTGACTCTAATAACTAAAGTGGAGTTGTTAATTGTGGCATTATTTGAAATGTTGATAAAAGATGAGGTTGTATTGCTATCTAAAGTAAAGGTATAGGTATCTTTGTAGGAATCTAAATCACCATTAATATCGAGATTAGAAATGGAACTATTACCTAATTTACCTCCATTAGTTGTAATTGAACCATTTAATTGGCCACTACCTTGAATACCACTATTATTTACAATAATTGTATTATTTGAGGAAAGAACTGCTTTGTTTAATATTAAATTACCATTGGTTTGGGTGTATGATATAATAAAAGCATTTTTACCAAGATTAACAGTACCGGCATTAGTCATTGGAACTAAAATATTTGTTGTGGTTTCATTACCATTATTAATATCTAGAGTTCCAGAGTTATCAAATGTTTGGGAGCCTGATTCTGATGGTACGATATTGTTATTTAAAATAAAGTGGGCAGAGTTTTTTAATGAGCTCTTACTATTTAAATGGATTTCACCATCAAAAGTTAAAGAACCATCTTGGTTAAGAATTTGGGAGTTGATTAGTTGAAGATTTGCACTTGAACTTAATAACAAATCTCCATTCTTTAATGTAATTTCTGAATTTGTTAAGGTAAAATCAGAGTTGTCCGTTAATTTTAATTGACCATCTTCAATAAAACCTTTGGAATCTGTCATTTCAACAATACCGTAGTTAATAAAAGAACCTTTAATTGAAAACTGAGAATTTGATTCAATATTAAAATAACCTTTAATTGTAAATTGATTGTTGACATTGAAAGTGGAACCTGATTTAAGCAATAAAGAGCCATACTAAAAAATTTATTTATATTAGCTGATTTGTGGTTTAAAATTTTTTAAAAAATAAATTTTTTACTTACAGAAATAAAATATCCATTAACATTAAAATTTGAATTAATTATAGCAAAATAGTAATTTTTAATTGCGGAAGTGTAGTCATATACAAAGCCACTGATTGTTACTTTTGAGTCTCTAACAGTCATAAAAGATTGATTATAAAATGATAGATAACCCAAAACAGTTAATGTACTTTGGTTTAATAAAGCAAAATTTGAATTTTCCCATAGGCTTAAATCTTCATCTAAACTGATTGTTGATTTTCTCAAGGTCATGGTACTTTTTTCAGAAAGCTGGGCAAAGGAGTTAATTGATACACTACTGGATTCAAAATAGATATCTGAGTCATCAGCAGCTAAAAAATAGCATTCAATTGAAAGTTGGGAGTTGTAGCTGAAAAATTTAGCTGAATCATAGATTTGGAAATAAAGTTTGGTATTACTTGGGTCAATGTTTTTGTTATTAACGGTAAAGATGGAATTATTTATTGAAGCAACACCTTGGTCAGTTATAGAAACTGCACCTAAAATATTTACATTTGAATTATCTTTGATATTTAGTTGTGAGGTATTATAGATACTGAAAATATTATTAAATGTAATTTTACTATTATCGCCATATAAAACAGAGTGATCAAAGAGATTAAAGTCATTGCTTATGGTACCAGTTGAGTCTTCGAATATAATTTGACTATCATAGTTACCAATATACTTTGAGCTGTAAAAAGTAGAGCCAACTACATATAAAGCACTTTTTTTAATTTGTAAACCAATGTAATTTTCACCATCATTATCATAAATAAATTTAGCATCTGAATCAAATAAAAACATTTCAGAGTTATTCTATAAAAAAAATTTTATTAGTATTTTATGGTTTATTTCCTTATATAAAAGACATACATATATATTAAATATATCATAGCTTGTGTAGTTTGAATTATAAAAATAAACTTCTGTATTTGTATCGAACCATGATGAGCCTTGCTCTGGGTTATTGTTAACTAAGAGGTCTGTATTATGGAATTCATGTGATGAATTTTCAAAACCTTTTAGACCCATTAAGACGATTTTAGAATCTTTATAAAATGAAAAGCTTTGAGTGTTTTGAATTATTTTTGTATTAAAGGTAGAGCTTACTACATTCATATAGCTGGTTGGGTCTAGAACAAAAATTGCATCAGATTTAAAATTTTTTGTTATAGATATATTTGCTGCAATTAATGAGAATTTATCAATGTCACAGTAATAATTTGCTGCATTAGTGGTTGGATTGCCAGCTATTTGAAAACTTACTAAGGCTTTATTTACAATTATAAAGTTTTCTGCATTTACACCATATGTTGTAGTAAAAGTATTTCCAAGTGTTGAGCTTTGACCTACTTGAATCCAAAAAGCATTTGCTGGACCATTAAAGTTGGTAACTTGTTGGTTTGACCAAGCTCCCCCACTCTCTGAAACACCGATTATAGCACGGTAGCCATCATTAAGTGTTGGAACACCTTTATCCCAATTTTCAATAATATTAAAGTCGCCTGTTGGCTTTTTAAATATATTATTAACAGTTGGTTGCGACAATGATTTTTTGACAATAAAAAATAAAAAAATAAAAATAAAAATATATTTCATTTTTTTTTTGAACATAAAAAAAATAAAAAATATAAACTAAATTAAATTAAAATTAATTAATTTTAATTTTAATAATGAATAATATTGTATTTTAAAAATAAATAAAAACTATTAATTACTACAAATAAAAGTAATAGTTAATTTTTTAAAAAAAAAAAAAAAAAAAAAAAAAAAAACAAAAAATAGAATTTTTTTTTTCTTATCAAGTGTATAAAAAAAAAAAAAAAAGATAAATATTGGAAAAAATACCTCCACACCAGCGCAACATCATAAAAATCATAAAAAAATTTCAAAAAACTAATATTGTTATCTTTTCTATTTAGATATTTTTGATTATAAAAAATGATTATAATAAATAAAAAAAAAAAAAACAAATATTTTTGGTATCATACCAGTGCCGATTGGAAATGTAAAAGTTCCAAAGTTTTTTATTTTACTTTTTTTATTTTATTTTTTTTTTAAATTTTTTTTTATATAATATAAATATCTTTTTTATTTTTAAATGGGTCTTCATGCAATTTTTATTTGGATTTTTTATTATTGGGTTCACATCAAAAAAAGACATTGATATTTAATTTATATGATTTATATTATGAATAAAATAAAAAAGTAACAATTGAATTGAGATTTTTCTTTTAATATATTTTTATTAAGAAAAATTTGGTGAAGGTAAATCCCATTAAATTTAATTTTTATTGAGAAATTTAAAAGGGTTGGTATAATTAAGAATACCAAGGATGTGTGTTTTATTTAATTTACAATTTGTTAAGTTGATACTTTTGGAAATAAGAGTCAATAATAATAAATATTTATCTAAAATTTTTTTTTTTTTTGTTTATCTAGATTGGAGTTTGATATTAATTTTTTCTTTTACTTTGTAGACATAGTTATAATATATTTTCTTTTTAAAATAAATAAGTGTACCTAAAATAGCGGCTAAGCCAGCAACCCCTACCACAATACCAACAATTACACCTTTTGATAATGATGATTTATTTCCACATCCATTTGTAATTAATACATTTAGAGAATTGGTCGATTTGTATACTTGATGACAGTCATTATTAATGTCAGTTTCTTTGCCTGTTACTGGGTCATATGATTTGAATTGAATTTGATTAAAACCAGATCCAGAGATATTAGACCACTTTATAACTGTAGTATTTTTTTCTTCTTTTCTATTAACGTCGACTCTAATCACCAAAGTGGAGTTATTGTTTATAAATTCTTTTTGAATTGAAATTAAAGAGTTATTTGAATCGTCAAGAGTAAGGCTAATGGTGTCATTTAAGTTTGTTTTTAAAACACTTTCGATTTCTAGTGATGAGTTTGATGTTGAAAGTAATAGGGAAGCACCGTTTTCTTGAGTTAAAGAGCCTACTTTTACAGTTTTTGAAATATCAATTTTGCCACCATCAGTGTTTAAAAATGGTAATAAAATGGATGAAACGGTTTCACCTTCTGTAATATTATTTTTAATTTCGAATAAACCTTGATTTAAAACTCTTTCGACGCCCTTGTAGTCAGTTGAGTTTTCATTTAATAAAATATTTGAATGTAAAACTAAAGTACCCCCATTTACCAAACTGCTACCTGTTTCAATGACAATATCACCACTGGCATACAATGAACCATGTTTATTATTAATTACAGTATTTGTAAGATTTAATTGGGCAAATGGTTCCATTATAATAGTACCTTCGTTAATAGTGATGGATGAGTCCACACTCTTCATTATCGAATGCGATGATAAAATGATGGAGCCATTATTAACCTCTAATTTTGAATTTGTTGTTTGAACAACGCCAAAGTTTGTAAAGTTTCCTTTATTTACAGTTACCAAACTATTTGTAATATTTGAATATCCCATATTTACAAACTCATTGTTACATACTAAAGAAGAATCATATAATACAAAGAAACCAACCTATATTAAATAAATTTTAATAAATAACCAAGTTTTTTTTTTTTTTTAAAAATTTTAAAATTATTAAACTATAAAATACCTACGTTTATATAAACACCATTTACTACAATATTTGAATTAAGTACACCCCCTCTTTTAAATATTTTGGTCAAGTCTATAAATGAACCATCAATAGTGATATTTGAAGAGTCGAAATAAAAGAATGATTCATCAGTGAAATATAAAAATCCTTTAATTGTAACATTACTTTGTAAACCTGTGAGTTTTGAAAGGTTTGTTAAAACAACATTTTCGCTAATAAGAACCTCTGATTCGTGGAAGAAAATTTCGGAGGTATCATTTAAAACCAAGTGATTTCTGATGTAGGCAATGGTGCTATTTAAAATTAATTTACTATTGTCTGTTGTTGTTAAAGATGCTTTCTCTAAATAAATAGTTGAGGATAAAACTACAAATTGGGAGTCTCCTTGGACATATAACACTAGGTCTTCAAAATACTCTATATTTTCTTCTTTTGTAATTATGATAGTTGAATCTTGGAAATACATTAATGTGTTGTTGTAAAGTTTAACGTGGTTGTAAATTATAATTGATGATTGACTCCTGGTGACAATAGCTGCATTTTGATCGAGAAATAGAGGCTGATACAAAACAATTATTGAATTTTCTCTAATATCTAGCAATACATCATCTGATAGGAACACAAAATTTATAAAAGTTATATTTGAGGTGATTGTTGTTATTTCTGATAAACCATTTATAATCATTATTTTTTCGCTTATAAGATTTGAATCTAATAGCTGTAACTTTGAATTAGTAAGAGTGAAAATATTTTCTAAAGCTCCTTGTTGATTGTTAAGTTGACATTCAATTGATGAACCTATGGATAATATTGTAGAACCACCCTAATAAAATAAAAAAAATAAATATTAATATGTTAAATAAAATAATTTTAAATATTAATTAAATAATAGCTATACTTGCTTGAACTAAATAGTCGTTGGTTGTTAATAGCATGGATCCGTCTAAATATATTTTTGAGCTTGTGTTTACATAAATTGGGAATGCTGGATCATCATTTAAAGAAACTAGTGTGCTATGATTTAAAAATAGCAAAGACTGCTCCTCGAAACTGATAAAGTGGGTTCCTGCAGCTGTATATTCTAATGCTACCACGGCGCCATATACTGAAATTAGTTTCTTTGATTCGAATACACCTGACAATATATACACTCTACCAATGTTAAACACCACCGAACTATTAATATAACTTAATGTTGCTAAAAAGGATGTACCCATATCTACCCAAAGGGCATTGGCGGTTACATTTCTATCTGTTAAAAAGGCTGTATCTGAATCATAATCTACACTTGAATCGCCCAAAATTAAATTGTCCACTTTTACATTTGCCAATTCACTAGTTACTGTCAACCCTTTTTTAATTGGTTGTTCAGTATTTATAAAAGCTATGTCATTTTGTGATGGAATTTCTGATGTGTTCCAATTGGAAGCTATGCTAAACTCTGGATTTGAAGTGCTTGTTTTAAAAAGTGCAAATTTGCTTAATATAAAATTAAAATTTAAAAAAAAAATAAACAAAGTGAAAATTAAACTTAAATATTTCATTTTTAAAAAAATTATATTTATAATTTAAATTTTGTTTTTTTTTTATTTGAATTATTATATATTTTGTGTATTTGCAGTTTGATAACTAAAAAAAAATTTTGTTCTAAAAAAAAATTCAAAGGAAAAAAAATTAAAAAATCAAACGTTGAATTCATGTTTTTTTATATTTTTTATATTTTTTTTTTTCGTAATTTTTCCAAGATATTTATTTTTTTCAAATAAACCTATTTAAATTATAATAAAATAATAAAAAACCATATTTTTTGATCACAATTACCCCATTATAATTTTTTTTTTCTTGATTTTTTGAGGAAAAAATGAATAAAATAATATATAATAATAATAAAAGATAAAAAAATACTTCCAAAATGTTTTTTTTTTAAAAATTGAACATATCATCAATAAGTGTATTGAGGTTATTGCTATCATTTTTATTTTTAGATTTATTATTTTGAAGTGGAGAGTTTGATCTAGAGGTTGGTTCTAATATTGAGTGTTCTTCATTTACCAATAAGCTACTATCATTATCACTATCTAATGAAGAGGCAGTTGATGTTGTTGTAGTGGTGGTGGTTGTTGTAGTAGTTATTTTTGGTAAAACTGAAGTAGTAGGTATTGAAAAGTCGATATCTAAAATATTTGAAGCTGTAATATTTGTAGAGTTATTAACATCTATATAGCTATTACTATTGCTACTGTTATTGTTATCACTATTGTTGCTACTGACACTATTACTATTACTTAAATTACCTATATTATTATTAATAAAATTGCTATTATTACTGATTGATAGCTCACCTACATTCGATAGCATTGATGGTGAAATTGGTGATGGTGATGGCATAGAGGAGGCAGGTAATGAAATGGACATTGATTTTCTTTTTGATGGAGATAATTCTAATGTTGATTGTTTTAAATCTTCAAATACTTTTGAAGCATCAGCCAATAAACTTTCAATGGTCCAATCCAAGGTATTTTGAAGTGCTGCTTCAAATGTCGTAAGACAATATTGTTGTTTTTGGGAACAAAGACTAAAATCTGAATATTCTTGGATAAACATAAGCTCAGAAAAGACATTGGTAATATTTGATTTGATGATTACATAGGAGAAAATAGGTAACAATTCATCTGCGCTAATTTGTGGTATTTTAGATATGGTGGAACGGTTAAATTTAGATTTCTTTTCCCAATAGAGTTTGATTGATTCTGAAATTAAATCTATACTTTTTTCGATACATTCTAATTTTTCGGTTGGGGTTGTTAAAGATGGTAGTGTTTTTAAAATATCGATACTAAATTGATATGGAGGTAAATGGGCGGCTGTCTCTAAATCAATATCACAAAAGTTATTGATAATTTCAGTATCACCATCTCCACTGCCATTATTACTTGATATCTCTTCATCATCCATCAACGACTCTGATTTGTTGTCTAATAGCCAGAAATCTTCAGGAATACCAATATGGATAGTTGTAATAGTAAGTAATTGTAAAAATTTTGAAGAGTATTGTTCGTCTTCTTTGGCATATTTTGCTGTATATAAACTAAGGATAATTTGATAAATAAATTTGTAAACTGCTTTTTCTACTGCTAATCTTGCATATGAAATTCTCTTTTCACTTTTACGTAAATCTTGTATCTTATGAACTATCATTTGAGTATATTCATAAATAATATTATTTACATCATTTGATATCTTTTCATTATCTGAGCCACCTAAAATTTTATCTTCAATTGCAACTATTAGTTTATAAAATGATTTGCCTAATTCAAACTCGGTATTTCTATAATAAATAAAATTGAATGTTAGTTTATAATGATATAATAACAACAATGAAAACGATTAAATAAAAAACTATACTTACAATAATAACTCTGAAATATTTTCGACAATTAATTCTCTATTATCTAAATTTTTAGAAATTGTTTTGAGTGTTTTCTTTTGCGAATCAGATTTAAATATATCTAAACCTTTTTTGAGTAAATTATCAAAGTCGATATCTTCATAACGTCCAATATCATTACCATCAAATATTGATAGATTTGAAATTGAAAATCCGGATAAAGGTGATTGATTTGTGGATGATGCTTGTTCTTGTTTTGAATATGATGATGTATTTATTACTTTTTTGGGTCTGGATTCCGGTTGGCTAATTTCTAAGATTTGGTTAATCATTTCGGACTCTTTCTCTTGATCAAAGTTTAACGTAAAGCTACTAATTGAGACTAACCACATAATTGCCTCTTTAGGGTCTATTGTCCAAATAAAATGTGCTATGTTATTTTTTGGGGTACGTAGACGGAAACCGTATCTAAGATCGTTGCTATTATCCATTAAACGAATATCAATATTTAATAGTAATCTCTTTAAATCTAAAATATCAACTTCCTTCATTTCTTTTTCTAAATGATTGAATAAAAACTGACCTCTTTGCACAAACCAACGATTATCATTAACATTTCCTTTTGGTTCATTCATAACTACAACATTATAAAATAAGCATCCTTCTCTTAATACTGGTTCTAATTTTGATTGTGAATTATCTAAGCTACTATTACTACCAACACTATTATTAGATGATGATAATATATTCTCTTCTTTATAAATATCTTTTATTAATGATCCCATGTCTTCTAAAATTGATCTGTCATTTGATGATTTTAAATTTTTTGATTGCTTTATATTATTATTATGATTATGATTAAAATTACTATTATTATTAATATGATTAATATTATTATTATGTGGCGATGTTGGTAGTGACTTAGGTCTTGATGGTGGTGGTTGTGGGGGTGGTGGTTTTTGTTGTAAAATTTGTTGGGATGCACTTGGTGGTAATCTTTGAGATTGTCTTTGATTGTTATATATTTTTGTTGAATTGGAAGATGGTGGTGATATATTTTGTACAGTATTTAGTTGAAATGGAACCATTGGTGGTACAGGTGGGGCAGGTCTAGAGGGGTATTGTGGAGGAGATTGTTGTGAAAATAATTGTTGTTGTACAAAGGATATTTTGGGTGGAAGTAAAGGTGGTGTAGAGTATGATGGTGGAGGTGATGTGGGAATTGATGGAAGTTGTTGACTCGAACGATTCTGAAAATCTAAAGTTTGAGACTGTGTTTGTAATGGCGGTGATAAAGTCTGTTGTTGATTTTTTGGTGAGTTTTGATAAAAATATTGTTGTGGTTGTGGAGGAACAAGAGGAGCAAATAAATTATTCATATTATTCATATTATTGATATGATTTATATTGTTTGATTGATTGAAATTATTATTCATATTATAATTAATATTATTATTGTTATTCATATTGTTATTCATATTGTAGTTCATATTATTATTCATATTCATATTATTCATATTATTCATATTATTATAGTCATTATTAAATAAAGGTGGGTTTGGTCTTTGATTAATTGAATTGTAGTTATTATTACTAAAGTTATTTAAATTAAAATTGCTGTTATTGCTATTATTAAAGTTCCCATTATTCCCAAAACTATAGCTATTATTATTATTATTATAGATGCCATTATTGTTATTATTATGGTTTATATTATTATTACCATTAAGACCATTTAAATCTAAAGAGTTCCGAAAATTATTTGGAGGATTATTATAGCCATTATAGTTAATATTAGAGTTGTAATTGTTATTTAAACCACCTCCATTACTATAGAGAAAAATATTATCATTATTATTATTATTATTATTATTATTATTATGGTTATTGTTATTGTTATTGTTACTATTATAATTAATATTATTGTTGTTGATGTTGTTATTGTTATTGTTATTATTACTATTATTATTAGAGTAAGATGGAATTAGAGATTGTATATATGGATTTCTGTCATTTTGAGAATTCATTTCAATTAAACTGTTATAAATTTAATTTTATTTTATTATTATATAATGAGTTATTTTTTAAAAAAAAATAAATAAAAAATAATATTATAATTAATAACCAATTTTTATTACTATCTATCTAATAAAAATAAAAAAATTAAAAAATAAATAAAAAAAAAAAAAAAACAAAAATAAAATAAAAAAATTTAATTTAAAAAAAATTAAAAAAATAAAATAAATTAAAAAAAATTTTTTGGTATATATATTACCTTCTATTAATTTTTTTTTTTTTCGGAAATCGATTTCTAAACAAAGATTTATTGAACCTCCAATATGTGAACACCATGCATTCTATTTTAATAATCATTTAAAATAAATATAAATATCTTGAATAAAAAATAATAATAATATAAATAGAAAACCGAATTTTAAATATTTAAGGAAAAAAATTTATTTATATTTTAAAAGCACTCTAATTATGAGTTTGAGTTAAATTTTTTTACCAACACTAATTTATTGTTCACTATTTAAAGTAAAGATAAATGAAGTGTTATCATCTTGTTTAATGGCCATATTATGTGGGAAACCTTCAGTCTTACGGAATGAAACTTGACCAGTGGATGGAGAATATTTAAAATAAATACTATATTTTAATAATAATTAATAATTTTAGTATGATTAAAATGAAAAATATTATAATTATAAAAATTATACTTACGATCCATTAGCAACGGTAGCACCTGGCCAAGCTGTTTCTTTACAAGATACTTGACAAACAATTTCACTCTCTGGTGGGGTGAGTTTTGGAATTGGACATTGAACATAATCATGACCAGTTGTATTTCTGTATTCAAATTAAAATAAATTGATTAATAAAAAAAAACTAACATTAAAACAAAATTAAAAAAAATACATACTTGGCTGGACTAACTTGGTATGGGATGAGGGTCATTTCATATTCTTTTGTAAGACTACTACCCTTTTCAATCTTGAAATCAATGGCATAGTTAAAGTCTCTTGGAAGAATTTGGAATTTAGATAAACCATTAATGAAGGTGAGATCATTAGTTGTTGATCCTGGTTGTAAAAGAGCATATTTTCCTGGAGTTGGAGTATCAATTTCATTATGTTCCCAAATGTTACATTGGACAGCACTTCCAACACTATTTAAATAAATATTATTAAAGGTTTTAGTATTTTATCTATTTTTTTTAACAAAATAGAAATAGTGAACTTACATGCAGCTCATGAATCTATCATTCCATTTGTCTCCAGCGTTGAAACGTACAGTTTGGCCTCTGGAGTATTCAAATGATTCACCGGAGCAGTTTTTACCAAAGAAAAATTTTACTTTTTGACTATCTACTGACATTTTAAAACAATTTAATTATTTATTTATTTATTTATTTATTACTATACTTTTAATAACAAGAACTTGAAATGAATAATAATTGTTAAAAAAATTGTTCAATTTATACTTTTTTTGTGAACATAAAAAAATTTATTATAATTGAATAATATAAAAAAAAAAAAATAAAAAAAAAAAAAAAAAAAAATTATAATGGGGTGGGGGTAAATATACTCTAAATTGAAGCAACAACTATCATGATGATAGTAAATAAGATGTTGGGGTTATTGCATTAATGTGAATGTTCAAATATAGAAACTTAAACAGTTTGGATTTTTCAAATTTGTAAATATACTACCTGTATTTTTATCATTATTTTTATTATTATAATAATATTGATTATATTGATGCAGCTGTTTATGTTGTTGTTGTTGTTATTATTTTAATGAGTATTGAACTGAATTAAAATAAAAAAATTCAAACCCACATTGTTTCAAAAAAAATACAATATATTATTATATTGTTTTTTTTTTTTTTTTAAATTTCAATCTGTGTGTCAGTGGTGTCAAATGTAATTTTTAAAAAAAAGTATTGGGGGGTAAGTTCCTTTTTTTTCTATTTTTTTTTTTTTTTGCCATAAACCATCACTCACCAAGGTGGTGGTTTTTACAATTTTCCCACTATACCTTTTTTTTTTTGGAAAGATTGTTTCTAGATGATTATTACTTGAAGAAAAGTTGAACATTGGATAATAAAAATAATAATATTAAATATATCTTAATAAACTGTTTATAACTTTTATCAAGATTTTAAAAAATTTGAAAAATAAATTATAATAAAAAAAAAACAGATAAAAAAAAGGTTAACACAATAATTGTTTTATTTTTATTATTATTATTATTATTATTATTATTATTATTATTATTATATTATAATTGTTATTAATATTAACTAATTGTACTTTCTGCCCAATTAGCAATACATAATGCCATTGATGCCATTGCACCAACACATTGATCCATTTCCCCACTATCCATTTTGTCCATAGCGTCACCAGCAGTATGATGATACCAGAAATATCGGCTCATATCGGTCATTAATTGAGCACCTGGTTTACCATTTTCAACTAAAAAGCCATTATCAGTACCAACTTCACCAAATTCAATTGATGTTGCTTTAATTGGTTCTAAAATTTTATTTGCAATTAATTGAAGTGACTTGATAGTATTGGATGAGGCATTAACAGTAAAACCTAATGGGGTAGTAACACCAAAATCTGATTCTATGGAGAAGAAAGTTTCATTAGTGTAACGATTGGCATAGTCTTGACCACCAGCAGCACCATTCTCTTCATTGGTCCAGCCTACAGCACGAATGGTTCTTTTTGGTTTGATTCCCAAAGCTTTAATTAAACGTAAAGCTTCGTAAGCGACCATAAAACCACCGCCATCATCCATAGCACCGTATGCAATATCCCATGAATCTACGTGACCACCAAGTACAACAACATCTAAAAAAGTTTTAAATAAACAATCATTAATAAATTTATAAATTTATATATTTTATAATATTTAATAATATTAAATACATACCATCTGGATATTCAGTACCATTAATTTGAGCAAAAATATTTCTTGAGGTTGCCATTGGTAAGGTTTCAGCTTCCATATAGAGATTGATTGTAACATTTTGACCCAAGTTTACAAGATTTTGAATAAGATCAGCATCTTCAAGAGTAATTGCTGCAGTTGGGACTTTAGGATAAGCAGAATTATACCACATGACACCTGTATGTGGTGTACCCAATGAATATGGTGTAATACTACGTACTAATGCAGCAACACCACCATATTTAGCAGCGGCAGATGCACCTCCGCCACGGTATTGCACTGTTGAACTATAGTTTGTAAATATTGCATTAAACAATACTATTTTACCTGGTACTTGATCTTTTACTTGATCCAATTCGTCAAAAGAAGATACAACCAAAACTGGAGCTGTAACATTACCTGCAATGGATCCACCCAAACCTAAAATATTCATCTTTCTATAATATGGCTCTGTAATATAGGCATGTTCATTATTACGGACCCAATTAGTTACTTGTACATCATCTGAATGAACTAAATCGAATCCATCATCGCCCATCATACCCAATATCCAATCGATTCCATTCTCTAAAATCTTGGTTCCAGACAATCTACCTGGAAATAAGGTTACAAATGTCGACAATGTTGAATATGCCTCTGTTCCTTTTAATGCTTTATCTATAATTTGTTTACCATATTGTTCGCATTGATGTGATATAACTGATGTTTTATCTATAAATTAAAAATTATAAATATTAATAGACTATTGTGGGTATTCTATCTATCAATACATATGACATACATCTTTGTACTATAATTGGTATTAAAATTACACCAACAACTAATAAAACTACAAAAAATAACAATGCTAAAATCTTCCATTTTTTCACTATGTATCTTTTACTAAATAAAATAAATAATAAATTAATCAGTTTGTAAATATTTGTATTTGTACATGCATATACATTTAAACCATATAAATATATACTACTAGTAGTAGGTACTTACAACTTTAATAATTGTGTTTCTTTTTTATTTGAATTATTACCATTTACTTCGTGTGGTAAAAGAAGGTTATCCTCTATACCCTCCAACCTCTGATATTTCGAATTCATGCTCATTTTTATTTATTTGTAATATACTTGATTTTAATGTTATAATTTATTTATACTATTTTCTTCTAAACCACCATAATAATTATTATCTGTTTTTATTATATCATTTATTTTATATTACCAATAATAAAAAATGGGTCTTTGATTGGGAAAAAAAAAATTATTTTTTAAAAAAAAAAAATCTTTTTTTTTATTATTTTTTTTATTATTTTTGTTTTTTTTTAATTTTAAATAATTAATATTCCAAACGAATTTTCTGGTTTTTTTTAGTATTAAAATAAAAATAAAATTTTTTTGGTTTATATAAATAATTTTTGATTATAAAATAAAAATAAAAATAATAAAAAAGTAAAGATTAAAAATTTTAAATAAATTTAATGTTATCGAAACCCACTAAACACACTGTTTTTTTTTTTTTTTATAATTTTTAAACATATTTTTATTTAACTTTAAAATAAAGTGATGACAAATATTTATACTGTAGTCAAAACTTACAGTTATGAATTATTATTATTATTTAAAAAATGATACCTAAAAAAATTATTTTTTGTGTGAGCTTTTTGTTATCATTTTTTTTTTTTTTTTTTTTTTTTCCCACAGTTTATATAATAAAAAAATTGATTTATCTACCCCAGAAACTACTGAAAAGACCTTTAGATGGAGTTGATTTATCTTGGGTATTTGGTGTTGATGGTGTTGAGGTTGATGATGATTTCTTTGGAGTGGATTTACCAATATCTAAAGTTGGGAATGAAACATTATTAAAAGCTAAATCAAAGAATAATGGTTTAACTGGGACTGGTTCGAGTTGTGGTGGAAGGTCGACTAAATTCTTCTCTTGAAGGAATGATGTTTCGAATGAATCGAGGTTATTAATTAAAGATTTGGTTGGACCAGTGGTACCTGAGGTCAATGACATTGAAGACATTTGATTTTTTAAATCTTGGTTGGTGGATAATTGTTGAATGAAGGAATTTGCATGGATTTGTGAACGTTGTTGGTTTATTGATTCCTCTAATTTTGAAGTTTCTGAAAGGATTAATTGATTTCTAGTGTTGGTTTTCTTTACATTTGCAAGATTAGTAAGAACACGATCGAATAATGACATGGTTTCAGAGTATTTGTGACTATTTGATAAGCAGATACCAATGAAAAATAATCTTTGGGATTTTAAGAGAATTAATTGAGCGTCATTATCTCTAGCAACATCCTTTTGGGCAGCAGTTGGGTCATCTTTGCTATCATTTAAAATTGTAAATACTTTAACTTGATGAGTTGATAAACGAACTAAATCATTATAGGTAACCTTGTTTGCTTTTTTCTTAATGGCTGATTCATCGACCTTTTCACCTTCCAATACACCTTGCATCATTCTAATTAATATAGTATTTCTTTCATATAAATATTTACATTTGTGGTATAATACAAATGATAATAATATTTTTTGTGATGATTCTTCAATTTCACTTTTAACAGTTTTATTTTTTAAATTCTATAATAATAGACATATTAGTAAATAATATTATATTATTAAAATAATGTTTTTTTTTTTTACTTACAGTTCTAATTAATGCTGATAATTCATTTTTAATAATATTTTCACAATTGATTAAATGATAAACTAATTTATCATAAACTTCAAAGATTTGTGAAATATTTTTAGTTAAATCCAATGTTTGAATATCAGATTGGGTTTGTGGTAATTTTGATTGGTTAGCTTTGAGGTAATCTGAATAGATAACAAGTTTTTCACGAAGTTTTTCATCGGTTTTAATGGTTTTGGATTTCCATGTGATGAGTTGCATTGGAAGCTCTTGGTCTGAAGAGGTATTGTTTGAATCTGATGATTTTAATTGATTTAATAATTCCTCAATTTCTTCGGATGGTTCTGGTTCTTGTTTTGATTTAAGATTGTAAAGACAGAAACGAATAATTGGTTCACTCTCCTCGATTCTTTTCTCATAGAGGTCTTTTTGTGCATGATCACCACTCTTTGCTAATTCTACATAGATTTGTTTGGAGGCTGAAATTTCATCTAATGCATTTTGATAATATTTTTTAACGATTGAGTTTGATGAATTCATCCATGCAGCATATGCCTCTGCTTCAACGATTGTATATTGGTCAGCAACTTCTTTGCAAATCATTAAAAGTTGGTCAGCGTTACTTGCAGCTTTTGAAAAACGTCTTGACATGTGGAAAGCAATACGAGAATCTCCTTTTTTTTCAAATGCTGCTTTTAAATCGTTGGCATAACTCCATGCTCTTTCTGCTTTTAATAATGCAATAACTAAATATCTGCTATCGTTGATTAACTTTGCATCTGTAACTTTATTTATAAATTGCTTTTTACCATATTGTTTTCTTAATTGACCTCTAATACGATCTAATCTTTTACTGCAATACTGTCTATATTTTTGATAATCTTGTAATCTTATCCCAAATTGAATTTGTGATGTTTGTGATAAATTTAAAACTATATATTTAAATTAAAATAATTAATATTTAAATTTTTAATAGTGTGTTTATTATGTGGTGATACATACTATCTAAATGGAATTTTTCCTTTACAACTGGAACAACTTGTTCAGTTGGTGAACTTGGTTCTGACATTTTGTATATAAATTAATTTATTTGAGAAAAATAAAAAATTTAAAAAAAAAAAAAATTTTAAAATTAAAAAAAAAATTTTGAAAAATTTTAAAAAAAAAAAAAAAAAAAAAAAAAGTGATGATGAATTTAAAAAATTATATTTTTTTTATTTCTATAAATATCACTTCAATTATTATTATAATCTTACCTCCCTATTACTAAAACTAATATGATTTACTTTTCCTATAAATTGAATGAAATAGTTCATCGCATTTTTATTTGAAAAAATAAAAAAATAAAAGTCAAATTTTTTCGTTAATGTGGGATAGGAATAAGGGATAAGGGATGAGAAATTAGGAATAAGCAATTATTATTTTTTTGTTAAATAAAACCAAATTTGATTGGGTCGATTACCCCATATTACATTTTTTATTGTAAAATAATAAAAAAAATTTTAAATTTAAATAGATAACAAAAAATAAATAAAAAAAAATAATTTTCAAATAATAAAAAAAAAAAATTAATTTTTTTTTAAAATTTTTTTATTTATATTCACACACTCACCCAAACACACTAACATATATTTTTAAACAACAACTACAATAATAATAATAATTTTTAATTTTTTTTTTATTTATATTATTTAAAATAATGTCAAATAAATACTAATAGTAATTTTATAAATTTATTTAATTAAATAAATAAAAAAAAATAAACAATAATAAAAAAATCTTTTTTTTTTTTTTTTTATTTTTTTTTATTTTTTTTTATTTTTTTTATTTTTTTTCAATTTTTTTTTTTAAAATTTAAATTTATTTATTTTATATATATATTTTTTTTTAAAATTAAAGATTATTGATCTAATCCTCCCAACACTATTATTTTTATATATATATATATATATATAAATATATTTATAAATAATTACTTTTATAATAATAATATTTTTTTTTTTTTTTTTAAAAAAAAAAGTTATAAAACTTTATATATTAAAAAAAAATATTAAATCAAAATAAAATAATAATAAAAAGATATCTTATTATTATAATAAATATATTGAAATTGATTATCAGATCAATTTTTTAAAATAAAACCCAACAAATATCATATTATAATAATAATTTAATATCTAATATTCAATATTTAATCTATATACACATACACAGAATTTTTTTTTATTAAAATATTAAAACAAAAAGAATTATAATAGCAGTAATAAAACAATTTTTTAGTTTTCTTTATTTATTTTTCATTTTTTCTTTTTTTTAAAAAAAAAAAAGTATTTTTCCTCTATTAAAATGGAGTCAAATAATAATAACAGCAATAACACAGGGTTTCAACAAAGAATTAATAAATCTTATTTAAGTGTAAATATTTTTTATAAAAATTTTACTACAAATTTTTATTATATTTTAGCAAATATTAATTAATTTCTTAACAATAATTAGAATGAAGAGTTAAGTCAATATGAAACAACTACAACTACAACAACTACAACCAAGCAATACTCTACATCCCCAATACCCCAACCTCAACAATCTCAACAACAGCAAACCCAACAGCAACAAGTATTTTATTCACCACCACCATATTCAAGAGTAATAATACCAATTGAAAGTATACTAGATGAAGAGGATTATCTTTGTAGACCAATATCACCAGGAAGCATAGCAGTTCATCATCATCATACATCCTCATCAACTACATCATTTACATCACCATTGTCAATAAAGAAATCTAATCATAAAAGATCCAATTCTCATGGCTTACCACCAAAATCAGTTTTACATCATTCACCACCAAATAATACAAATTCATATTTATCACCAGTTGCTAATAGTATGGGATCACCAACAACAAATAGTTACTCGATAAGATCAACACCACAAACAACACCAAATATTTTATCACCACCAGTTTTACCAAGCATTTCACAACCTTCATCCTCAACTCCACCCACTGTTCCAACAAATAAAAAGAGAATTACAAGACAGGTTGGAAACTCAGTTGATAGTGGAAGTTTTGCTTCAATTTCGCAACAATATTATCAACAACAATTACAGCAACAACAGCAGCAACAACAACATAAAGATTCTCCACCTATTTCACCAAGAGTAAGTGGTAGTGCTATTAATTTAAATACTATAGATATAAATCACAGAAGATCAGTTTCATGGGAACCTCCTCTTCAAGGAAAATCATTGGAGGCATTAAGTCAACTTATTAAAGAGAAAAAGGAGGCATTATTATTAAAAGAAAGAGAATTGATACAAAAACAAATGCAATTGGAACAAGAGTTTATTTCAAGACGAGAGGCTTCTACTACATCGCCACCAATTCCAATTATTCAAACTCCAACTCCACAGCCATCACCAAACCAACAACAGCAACAATCACAAACATATTCACCTGCATCACCATTATCCCCAGTATCACCATTTATTATTGGTTCCCCATCACAAAATAGTAATGGATCTCAACAAACTACACCCCGTCCTATACTAAAACATAATAGAAGTAAATCTGATACTAATAGTGCTTTTAAACAAGTTCAACAACATTTACAATCGAAAAAATTAGCAACTTCACCAACAAGCACAACTATAGCGACTGGATATATGACAACTACCACAACCCAATCTCCAGTACCACTACCATCACCACAGCAACAACCTTTAAACCCTTCAGCATCAAAAACAAGATATCACCATGAAAAATCAAAATCAATGACATCACCAAAAATAAACCCAGCACTTTTAACCCAACTCCTTCAACACCAATTACACCAACAACAAATTAATCAACAACAGGTAACTCAACAATATAATCAACAGCAACATATACATGCAATAACTCCATCACCTCAAATGTTAAATAGTCTTCAATCACCAACTACTTTTGGTTCAAAAGCACCAAGAAGAAAATCAATTGATCCATTAACTTATTTATCTTTAAACTCTCATTTACAACAACATGGATCACCAATTATCAATAGTAATAACAACAATAATAACACTAATAATAACAATAGCTCTTCTGTTGCCAATAATATGGATATCTTAAATCAAAATTTAACCAATCTTCATCTCTCATCTTCATCTTCTAAAGCTTTCAAAAACCCACTCACTATTCAATTTTTAAATACAATTCAATCAATGAATCTAGATGAGTTTGAAGAAGAATTGGATAAAGAGATTCAACAAGTAATTTTACAAACAAAAAATATACAGGGAAAAATGGATTTATTAGAAAGAGCAAGAGTAAGTTTAATAGTTATATTTTAATATCTGCAAAATAAATAATAATAACCATGGTTTATTAATGTTTTATTTATCATCATTTTTATCCAGTGCTCAGCACCAGATCCATTGTTAATGTTATTTGGTGAGAATTGTAAAACTGTTATCGACAAGAAATATAACCATCATCATCACCAACCATCCCAACCATCACCTATTATTTCAAATTTAAGTGGAAGTGCAAACCACAATAACTCGCCTGTACTATTATCATCCTCAAATACTTTGCAACAACAAAATATATTATCGCCAAACCTTAACCAAAATATAAACTACCCAACATTCCAAGATACCAGACCTCATAATGGTGTAACAACTCGTACTTCAAGAAAGAAACCTACAAACATGAACTCAAGATGTCCAGATAAATCAAAAAGTAAAAATTTAAATCCCTCTTTAATGCCACGTGCTTCTGCATTCAGCCCCATTAATAGTTAAATCAATAATAATAGTTTTTTCCTATTACTTTTGTTTTTTTTTAGCCAACCTTATATTATACAAATCATTCAATATTTTATAATAGTTATTCATTCATGTATTTATCTTTTCATATATTTATCATATCTTATCATTTGTTTGATTAAGATAAAATTTTTTTTTTTCCTAAAGGTAAAAAAAAAAATATTGTAAATAAAATTTTCTATACAAATTAATTATTTTTTATTTATTTTCTTATTATGATTAAATACTATTATAATTTGTTTGTTTTTTTAACATGATTTTTTTTTTTTTAAAAATAATATTTATTATGTGTTTAGGGGTGAAACAAAATACAAATTTTATTTTTTTCATTTTTCAAGATATATATAACCTATTACTGAGTTTCTAAAATAATCTTTATTTTAAATTCTAAATATAATGATTGTCATTATTAACTCCTTATTGTTTCTTTGTTTATAGGGTTTGAGGTTAGATATTAATTTTGTAAATATCTTTTTAAATAAAGAGAAGAGAAAGGAAATAACTTTATTAAAAAAAAAAAAATATATAAATAGTCATCATTTTTCTTTTTTTTTAATATTCCAATCAAAATCAAAAAACTAAATTTTATAAAAATTAAAAAATAATTTAAATTTCTAAAATCAAAAAAAAAAATGACAAAATTAATTACCTTATTACTTGTTTCATGTGTTTTTCTCCTCTCTATTTCTTTGGGCGATGCATATTGTACTAATGGAGAGTTATCAAAGCATGCCAGTGATTGTACTAAATTTTATCAATGTGCAAATGGTAAGTTTTAAAACAACTTTAAATATATAAATAAATATTAATAAATAAATATTAAATCAATTATAGGTAATCTTGTAACACTATCATGTCCATCAAATCTCCACTTTAACAATGCTGCCAAAGTATGTGATTATCCAAGTAATGCAGGATGCTCAAGATATTAGAAATTTTATTTTATTACTACTTCAAAATGATTTTTCAATTATTAATAATTGAAAAAAAGTTAAATAAAACAATTTAAAATTAAACAATGATTTTTCATTCAGATTTTTTGAGATATTTTTATATTATTTTAAAAAATTTTTAAAAGGATGTATTTAAAGAAATATCTCTCCCTATTATTATAATTTTTTTTTTTAAATGATTTTTTTTTTTATTAATTTTAATTTTTTTTTTATTTTTTTAATTTTAAATTTACCACACACAACAAAAAATAAACAAACAAAATATTAAATAAAAAGATAATGAACAAATACTAAAATGATAAACAATAAAAAAAGAGATAGAGAATATGAATCAAATAGCATTGGTGATGATAAAAACAACAATCATAATAGTAGTGTAGAAGAGGAAGAGAATGAAGGCAATAAAATTACTTTAAAAAAAATTAAAACATTAGATTTAAAAGGGACAAGTTTAAATGAATTCCGAAATATTGCAATTTCATTAGGAATATCAAAGACTGGTGGGAAGTTGGACATTTATAATAATATAGTAGAGGTCTTAACAATTCAAGATAATTTTGAAAAAGAGAGATATGTAAATTCTTTTGATAAAGATCAACCAGAATTAAAGTTTAAAGAACCATTAGAATATTTGTTTTGGGGTGTATTTAGAAATAAATATTTATTTAAATTAATTTTTTCAAATTTCAACTCTAAATTGATTGGTTATGACCAGTTGGTTAATATTACCCATATATTTAGAAAATATTCAAATGCTAAAGAAATTCTCCTGGACAAAGTAAAGAATAATAGCCATATATTCCTATCAGATGCAAATATATTATCCATCTATAAAAATTTTAAAAGTGACACTCAAGAAACAAAATCTTTTTACCAAACGCTCTTTACAAAGTATTCAAATTACTTCAAATATACTGAAAGCTCTGTGCCTCTGTTATTCAAATCTTTTAATTTGGTGGCTTTTGGGCATTTCGTTCAAGAATTTAAGGACCAGCTAAATAATATTGAGCGTATAGCCAACAATCATTTTAAAGAGACATTTGAAATTGATTCGAACAAAAAATGTTGGGTAAAAACCTATAAAGACCTAAAGACTCTGGATTTTTTACAATCAACCAATCTATTAGTCCCAGACCTCAGCATGAAAATTCAAAACGCTCAATTAAACTGTTATCAAATTCTCAAGACACCTTTAAAACTCAAGCAGCTCAATAAAATGTTTTTATTATTAAGAAAGAATAATGTAAACCGCTTCAATGAAAAAAATAGAGAAACTATTCAAGATTTAGAACAGTTGGAAAGTATTATAAAGAATCAATTTAAAGAATGTTTATTCAATAATTTCAAAACGGTGTTTTTATTTCAGTTTACTTTTGACAACTGTACAATAGGGGACCATATTATCCGATGCTTCAGTTACTTTAAATCTATCTCCACCATTAAAGACAGAATTGGAATAGATCAACTGATCGAAGAATATAAAGATAAAGACGAGGAAAGTAAGAATAGATCAGACCAGATATTGAGAGAAATAAAAAGTGACGAAATGGTATTGAACTTTATCAAGCTGGATTTACAAGATATATCAATCAAATGGAAAATATTCGGATGGTTAAGAAAAAAAGATAATGACTTGGAATCTATCAAGTTTCTTCATAGCAGGTGCAAAAAAGAATTTGTCGAATTAATAAACCTCTATTTAAATGACCTTATACTCAGTATTAGAACTAGAGACTCCATTCAATTTTATTTTGACAATTACCGTAATCAGTTCTTTAGAGATGGGAATGAAAATTGGCTGTACTTAAGGGCCAAAAACCTCCTCAACTTTTACGAACAGTTAATGGTCTCAATAAATAGAAAGATGGTGATAAAAAACTTTGATTGTTGGGATATTTTCAGGGGGTACCTCTTCAAATCCCATATTATCCATCCTTTAGAGACCATAAGCATGGCAAAAGATAAACCAGCAATCTATTCCTTTCCATTAGATTTTTCTGTACATACATTCTCAGGGTTTATTACAGGATATTTCAACACTAATAGATCAGAAGTGGTTTTTAAAATATTCAAGCAATTCAACAAAGATTTTAATCTCCTCAAAACTTTCCGTGTACCAAGCTTAATCAACAACAAATTTATCCAATGGGTGTTAGAAAACTATACATCAATAGAATTATTTCCAAATAATCAAATATTCTCGTTATCCTTACCAATACCTTCATCCTCTTTATCAATTATTTTTAATATTAAGATTGTAGAATTTTTTAAAAGTTTTTATTTTTATGGGAAATATGATGAAATTTACAAATATTTAAAACTAAGGGACCTACCACCAAACATAGAAGGTAATAATGACAAGATACTAGTCGGTGAAAGAATTTATAAATGTATTAAACTACAATTGAAATCGGACTATAGAACAGAGTTTATAGAGGAGCTAATCAAATGGAGCTTCATTAAAGAAGATCAAGATAGAATAGATTGTAAAAAATTGCTATTCATTTGTTTCAAATCAGCCTCCCTCAATGGAAATATTCAAGTTTTTAAAATGTTATTAGGCAAATACAGTTCAGTTTTATTAAGAAATACAAAAAGACAAAAAGATGGTATTTTTAACAAAGAGGAATTAAAATCATTATTAAGAGACTCTATCAATAGATCAAACTTGGAAATTGGTGATCTTTTATGTAGTTTTACAACTCTAACTTCAAAAGAGTTTTTAAGTTGTGCAGAAAAAGATTCAATATCATTTAATCATTTCAAAGATAAATTTTTAAAATAATAATAAACCTGTTTTTATATTGATTTTTATTTATTTAATTAGATGTATATTTTTTAGTTTTGTTTATTCTTTCTTCCGCCTCTTTTCTTTTTAATAACATTTAAATTTTCATTATTATCTTCAATAATTTCTTCAAAACGTTTTTGTTGTTGTTGTTGTTGTTGTTGTTGGTACTGTTTTTGTTTATATTGGTTTTTTGGTTGTCTGTAAACTTGTTGTTCGGTTGCTTGTTGAAATTGATTTGGACGAATATAGGCTGCCTCTTTAAATAGTAAGGATCTTATTTGAATAGGGATTAAATGAGGAAATTTCTTATATAAAAAAAAAAAAGCACCTACAACACCTATATTACCTGCTACAGCAGAAAAATAAACCTATTCATAATTAAATTAAATTAGTTAATTATTTCACATTTTTTTCCATTTTTTTCGATTTTTTTTTTTTTTATTCTATTATTTTTTTATTTTTTTATTTTTCCTAAATAAATTTATAATTTTACATTTTTAAATGATTGTTTAGCTCTTTTATGTTTGAATTTTTCCATTGCCCACATACCTCCTATCCAACCACCTAATAAACCTGTTAATTGAAGTGTTGATTCTCTAACCTAAAAAATAAATGGTTTGTTAATATAAACCCTAAGTTTAAAATTGAAAAAATTTATTGTGTGTGGTGTGGGGGATACTTACTCTCCATCTTTGTTTTATAGCTTGTTGTTTATCATAAAAAAACAAACCAGCAGCACCAACGTTGATAGTACAAAAGTATGATCCCAAAATAATAAGTCCCCTATTTGTAAACATTTGATCTAATTCCCAATAATAATAATTCAACGAAAAAATGAAACTTAAAAACAAAACTTTTTTTTTTTTTTTAAAAATAATTTTTTTTAATTTTTTTTTTTTTTTTTTAAATTAAAAAATCACACCATCCAATTTTTTTTTTTTTTTTATAAATATTTAAAATAAAAAAAGCTGTGCAATTAATAAATAAATCAAATAAATTAATCAAATAAATAAATCAAATAAATAAATAAACAATGGAATTTTATAATTTCTTTAACATTTTTTTAAACAAAAAAGATAAAACATTCGAAAGTGAAATTGACAATTATAGAAAATTGATCACATCAAGCAATTTTAAAATCCAAGATGAACAACAACAAAATAAAGCTGTAGAGTTTGCTGAAAAAATCGTTGAGTCTTTAAAGAAAGGTACCAGTCTTAAATCAGAAATTGAAGGCATTTCCAAGTATATCAATGGACTTGGTGATGAAAATATTTATATTTCATACAACATTGGTAACAGTTTAATTACTACTGTATGTTTTCAAAATTCTTTTTTTTTTTTGATTTTTATAATAAATTTACTTATAATTTTTTTAATTTTAAAATTTATAGGGTTATTTGTATTTCAAGGGTGAAAATCAATGTATTTGTTTAAATGAAGGTGCTTTATTTTTAATGAACACCTTCAATAAAAACTCAAGAGATAAAGAAATTATGAATACTTTAATTAAAGCATTCGATGCCCTTGTAAGTAAAAATATTACATCTTTCATACTAATTTATATTTGTTATTTACTAACTATTAACAATTACATAACCAGTCCAATATTACTAAAGATGAGAATAAAAGAATGTATTATGTCACTAGAAATAACGAACTTCATCGTTATAGAACTGCTTTAGAAAATGGAGAAGATATTGTAGGTTTATTATTATATAACCATCGTTATTATAAAGTTGAATTTATTAATTTTTATTTTATTTTATTTAGAAACTTTCACCATCATCAACTGAAAAACTTCATAAAGCCTTTGCATATAAAGAAGCAGGTACAGAAGCATTTAGAGCATCAGATTGGAAAAAAGCCATTTTCCAATACCACTGTGCTAATAACTATGTCACAGGTCTTTTAGGATTACCAGATTCCGATGAAGCACTTGCCAAAAATTTAAATATTACACTATTAAACAATATTGCAGTTTGTAATATGAAATTATTAAGATATAACAGAGCCATCGAAATTTTAGATAAAGTTATTGATAGCGAACCAAATAATGTTAAAGCACTTTTTAGAAGAGGTAAATGCTTAGTTCAAGAAAAACAATATATCTATGCCGAAGAAGACCTCCAAAAAGCCATTGCTCTTGCACCAAATGACAAAGAAATCCAAAATGAAATTAAAATCTTAAATGTTAAATTAAAAGGATTCAATAAACTTCAATCACAAGTCTATTCCAAAATGTTTGATGAATAAATAATTAAAAATAAATAAATAAAATAAAATAAAAAATTGGCCTTGAGATCAATTTTATACAACTTTAAAATATTAAATATATTTTTTGTTTGGTTTGTTTTGTTTGTTTTTTAAAAATCTTTATTTTATTTAGTTTATTATTAAAAATATATATATAAAAAATTTTATAAAACAAATTTCTTTCTATCTACATCCATATTGTGATGATGAACATGAATATATTCACCACCTGAAGTATCAAAAGTACCCTTTTGTAAAGATTTTAATTTTAAAGTAAAACGTGGACCTAATTCTTGAAGATTGGCCTCTTCTTTTGTTTCAAATATATAACGATGCTGTCTAAAAAATATGAAATCACGTTGATTATGTAATGTACATACTCTACGACCTTTGAAGTTTGGATCTTGTGCGAAAATTGATGCAAAAATTCTACCGACTGTTAAACCTAAACGAGTTTTAAAACCATTAACAATTAACTCTGCTTTATGTGATGTCATTTCACCACCACCTGGTATATCTTCTGGCATAACTAAATTTGTTAATCTAAATGTTGCTGTTGGTCCATATGGTAAATGTGTAATAGTTAATTCATCTAAATAATAATATTGAAATAAAAAATTATTAATATTAAATGTTGTGTATTTTTTTTTTTTTTTTTTTTTTTTTTTTTGTGATTATCTGCATTGTCGAAAATATAATAATTTTTTTTTAAACACATACCTATAATTCCTTTTGTTTCATTTACAACAATTACATCTGTATAATCTCTATTATTACAAAATTCAATAATTTCTTTTAAATGATACTTTCTACGATGGAAAAATTCGGCATTTGGTAATAATTTTGGGAATATTTGAGCAAAATCGACGGCATTTTTAGCGGCTCTTTGATTAGTTGTAATACAAACTTTGGGTGGTTTACCATCAAAATAGGATTCGAATTCATCTTTATTAATATCTTCTTGGGTTTCTTCATCGACATCATCTACCATTGTGTCATCGGGTCTTCTCATACTTTCAATAGTTCTTGGTTCTTGTTTTGCTGGTGCTGCATCGCCTAACATTTCTCTTTCTTTTTTTCTTTGTTTTCTAGCTTTTTCTCTTGCTGTCTTTTTTGCTGCTTGAAGTTTTTGTACCAATAATACTCTTTTAGCTTTACATTTTATATCTGTTGGTGATCTTCTTAATTTTAATTCTTCTGGTGATAAATCATCTTTATCTTCTTCTTTCTTTGGTTTAACCATTTTATTATTATATATATTATTTTAAATTATATAAAAGTCTTTAGACTATATATAATTAACTTGGGTGTATATGATTGATTTTTTAAAAATAAAAATAAAAAAATAAAAAAAATAAAAAAAAAAAAAAACTAATTTTTCGTTTTTTTAAAATTTTCCTTTTTTTTTTTTTTTTAATTTTTATTTTTATTTTTTTAATTAAAATATTTTTTTAAATATATTTTTTTAGTTTAATTTTTTTTTTTTTTTTTTCTTAATATATTTACTATCAAATACATTTATTCAATAATGCAAGAAGAAATAATTTTATCAACAACTGATTTCAATACTTTAGTTTTTGAAGATATTAAAAAAATCAGATATGAAGTTTTTGTTATTGAACAACAATGCCCACAAGGTTTGTATTTAATTTTGTTTTTTATTATTAATAATTACCCCCACCCACCCACAAATTCTATTTTTATTTTTATTACAATAGTTTTTATTTTATTTTCATTTTTTTATTAACTTTTTTGTTTATTGCAGAAGAGGAATGGGATGAATATGATGAATCATCAAAACATTTACTTTTAAAAGTTAATGGTGAACCAGTTGGTTGTGCAAGATGGAGAAAAGTATATTATCCAAAATATGATGGTAATATGGAATGTGATGTTATTAAATTAGAAAGATTCGCAATTTTAAAACAATTTAGAGGAAAATCATTCGGTAAAGAATTAGTTAAACAAGTAATCAAACATGTTTATCAAACTACAAACATTGACCAAAGTTTAAATTATCCATTATTTATGATTAATGCTCAACAATATGTAGAAAATTTCTATTCATCTTTAGGTTTTGAAACTGATAAAAATATTCCAATTTTTGATGAAGCTGGTATTTTACATGTCAGAATGATTATCACAAATGATAAAATTAAAAAATTATATTTTTCATCATAAAAATAAAAACAATAAAATAAATAAATGTAAAAATACATAAAAACCATTAACCGATATACTCATTTGTTCCATTTCCTTAAGGAATCAGATTCGATGCTTTTGAAAAAAAAATAAAAATTAAAATTTTAATTTATTTTATTTTTTTATTTTATTTTTAATTTTTTTTTTTTCATTAATTTTTTATTTTTATTCATTATTTATTTACTTTTTTTTTTTTCAATAAGAACATTTGACTGTATAATAAAAAAAAATATATATATATCCTCCACACTTCATTCTATACTATTCCTTATTTTAATTCTTTTTTTTTAGTTTCCAACCTTTCGTGATATTTTCCCATCTATTTTTATATTTAAACAAAAAATTTATTTATATCCACCATTCAGTATTCATCCATTTCAGTAACAAATATTTCAAATATGTCTCAAATTAATATTATTGCTACAGTTGTAATCAAATCAAATTTTGTCGAAGAGTTTGAAAAGTTTGCTCAAAATCTTGTCCACAATTCACGTAAAGAAGAGGGTTGTATTTCATACACTTTAAATAAAGATAGCGAAATACCAAACAAATATTATTTCGTAGAAGAATGGAAATCAATGGATGCAATCGAATTTCACAAAAATACAACTCATTTCATTGAATATATCAATTACAGTCAAGATAAAAACGAATCATTAAATATTACATTAATGAAACCAATCATTTAAAAAAACTTAACAATAATAAATATTAATAATAAATTAAATAAACAGTTAATTAGTTTACAAATATAAAATTAATCTTTTTTTTTTTTTTTTTGTCTTCAATTATTATATTATATATTATTATGGCAATAGTTTAACTAGATAATATATTCAAATAAAATGTGAAAGTATTTTAACTGTTCACTATTCATTAATAGCATAGAAATAAAAATATATAATTTGGGGGGAGTGGGTGTTTTTTTTAAATTAATTTTTTTTTAATTTTTTTTTTAAAAATAGCAGTAGTAGTATATAGTCATAACCCAATATAGATATAAAAAAATAAAACTATACTGTATATAAATGGAAGTTTATATTACATAAATTTATGTTTTAAATATTTTAAATAATAACTACAACACAAAAACTGATAATTATTTATTAAAAAAAAAAAATATGTAACTATTTTTTTTTGTGTGTATAAATAAAACTAAATTTTTTTTTTTTTTAATAAATTTTATAATTATAATTATAATAATAATAATAATTATAGTTATAGTTATAGTTATAATAATATCAAATTTTTAAATAGTTTTTTTTATCTTCTATTAATTATTTATTTTATTTATATTTTATCATTATAAAAAAAAAAAAAATTATAAAATGAAAATTTTCAAAAGTTTAATAACCTTAATTAGTATAGTTGGTGTTGCCTTATCATGTGACCAAGATTACGAATGCTCCACAGGGTTCCCAATCAATGCATGTCAAGGAGATCTTAATATTTATAGAGGTATTGGAATTGATGGAAATGGTAATGTTTTAATTGCTGGTATATATAATAGCTCAGGTGGTGGTCCATTCGGTTTTCCAGGTATTTTCTCAATTCCAACAAATTCCGATAACGACAATACTATTACAAAGAAGTTCGATGTGTATGGTGAAATTGCAGATGGTCCAGGCTATACCGCTTTAGATTATTTTTATACCTATTTACCACAAAGTGATAGCTATTATGTAAGATTTAATCAACGTGGGGCACCTCTCTTTTCAATTTATAACCCAAGCACCAAAACTATTCAACCAGTATGGAATATTTTCAACACTCCATTTGTCCCAGCATTTGATGAAGCTAATAACAGATTTGTTTATGGTTGGTATGGAATTTCCATGATCAATAAATTACCAACTCAAAGAGATGATGTCAATTCAGCCACTTTAATTTATCAAAGACAAATTGTTAATGGATTGGTATTAGACGGTACTGATATTTATATGACAACTTATGATGGTAGATTTTTAAAGGGTACAACAAATTGTAATAACTGCACACAAGATGAACTTCAATTACTTTTAAACGACACCGATACAAGTACTCTTATGGGCTTAGTTATGGCCGGTGACTATTTATACTTTTCATATGCCGGTGGTATCAAAGGTTATCCAAAATCAGGTGATGCTTCAAGAGTTAGACAATTAGTTAGTGATTCTGATATTGTTTCAATTGTAGCTTCAAAAGATGGAAACTTTATATATTACACAACTGAAAGTGGTGTTGTAAAATCAGTTTCAACTCAAGGTAACCATGCCCAAGTTAAAGTATTATACACTTCACAATCAAATCATCAATGTATGACCGCTCCAGGTTTTGAATCGGACTCCACCTGCAAAGGTATGGTTCTCTGGTCTAATGGTCTCCCATATTGCACTCCAGTAACAAATGGTAAACCAAATATCTGTTTTGCTGCATATCAATGTGGTGGTTCACCAACTCAAATCTGTAATGGTCAATGTACATGCTTACCAAACTTTTATGACGATAATTGCATGAGTTGTGACGGTACTGTAGAATGGAGTGGTGGTTACCCAAATTGTAAATTGTAAACACTATGGCATGCCTAGTAGTTTAAAGTATAATAAAAAAAGTATATTTAAATAAAGGTTTTTTTTTTAGTTATAATATTTATTTTTTTGAAAATTTATTTTAAAAAATAGTTTATTTTTAATTTGATTGATTTAATCTTTTGTATTGTTCTAATAAGTCATCTATAACACTAGAGTCTTCAATTGTTGATGGGGCTGTATAGTTTTCACCTGAAATTTATAACTAAATTAGTAACTTTTATAAAAATTAAAAATATTTAAAAATAAAAAACTTACCATTAAAAATTGATTTAACCAATGGCTTTAATACCTTTCCATTTCTGTTTCTTGGTAAGCTATTTACACATAGTACAATTGGTCTTAAAATTGTATTGGTATGCATAATATTCTGCAATGTTAATGAAGCTTTCTTTTTAATATTTTCAATTTGAGCCTCATCTTGGTTATTATTATTTAATACTAACAACACCATTGGAGTTTCCGATAAGAGTTCATCTTTAATACCAATAATACAACATTCACTAATTTGGGGATTGTTTAATATTTCCAACTCCATAACACTACAGTTTATACTTGAGTTTCCACATGTAATTGAATCACCATCTCTTGAAATAAAAAAAAAGTATCCATCATTATCGTAGTAACCCAAATCACCAGTTGAATAATAACCTTCGAATTTATTCAAGTAGTGGTGTTTATAAAGTGATTGCTCTTTATTATCACCAAATAACGAAGTTGTTACACCTGGAGGTACTGGTAATTTAATTACAATCTCGCCAATCTCATTAGGTCCTAGCTCTAATACATTAGATGGATTATCTTGAGAATGGGTAACGATTCTAACTTGAAAACCTGCAGCAACTTTACCAATTGAATCTCCTCTTAGTGGAAATTGGTTTAATGGATTGTGAATCATTTGCCAACCAATTTCAGTTTGCCAATATTCGTTCAAAATTGGTTTCTTTATAATTTGATATAAATAATCAATTATAGATTGCTCTACCCTTTCGCTACCCACTATTACATATCTGACGTTTGACAAGTCATACTTGGAAGCCAATTCAGCCTTTGGGTCTATTTTTCTTATTCTTTTTATTTGAGTTGGTGATAGTAAAAATAAATTGGCTTTGTTTCTTGAAATAATATCCCATAAGTCATTTGGGTAGCTTTTGTATGGACCTTCATGAAATGCTGATCTAGCTCCAATAAATAGCATTCCATAAATTAAAAAGGAATGGCTGCTTATCCAACCAAAACTGGCGGCAGAATACATGGAATCACCATCATTCATTCGACAGTGCATCCTATTTGCATAGTTCATGGCGACTACATAACCTCCGGTTTCCCTTACAATTCCTTTGGGTTTATTTGTGGTACCACTCGAATAAATTAAATATAATGGATGTTGAGATTCTACTGGCTCATGTTCTCTCAATGGTTCTAAATCTTTTACAAGCTCCTCCCAATCCAAACACCCTTCTATAATGGTGTTTGATAGATTTGGATCATTATAGTCAACATTAGGAATACCTTTTCTATTTAAAACTATTACATGAGGTGTTTTACCGGGAGACCCTGACAAAGCTTCTCTAAGAATTGGTAAAAAGTAGGTGGGTGTTTCATTAACAAAATAGCCAAAATTTGATGAAACAATAACGGATGGATTACAATCATTGATGACTGTTTTTAAATTATCTGACAAGGCACCACTATACATTACACAGTGAATTGCACCAATTCTTGCACATGATAGCATTGCAGTAATGGTCTCGATGGAACTGTGCATATAAATCAATACCACATCACCCTTTTTAACACCTAAATTCTTAAGTGCTCTTGAAAATATGCAAACTTTATCATAGAGTTGTTGGTAAGACACTGTTATCTTGATATCTTTAATTGGAATCTCGTGAACAAATGCAATTTCATCCTTTTTCCCATTTTTAATATGTTTATCCAATGCATTATAGCATGCATTAATAAGACCCCCTTTGAACCATTCAGTTTTTTTAGTTTCACTATTATAATCTAAGACTTTATCATATGGTTTATCCCTATAGTTTTTAAAAGAAAACTTAGAATTGGGTTTTTTTATTATTTTTATTAATAATTATTTAAATATTTACCAATGAACTTCAAATTTTTTTGATGCTTCATCCCAAAATGATAAACTATCTTTTGATGCATACTCTGAATAACTAAAATAGTTAAAAGGATCACTTAGTTTATAATTACTATTATTTAACATTATATGTATTTAGTTTGGTTGTTTTATTTTAATGACATAATTAAATATTTAATTTCTTTTTATCTGTTTTAAAACAAAAAAAAAAAATTAAAAATTAAAAATTAAAAATTAAAAATTAAAAATTAAAAAAAATTAAAATATGGGGGTAATATTTTTTATCCACAAATTTAAATTTGTAATTTTAATTGTTTATTACAAATAACAGTATCTTCATTATTTCAATAAAGATGACGATAATAATGAGGAAAATATTTTTATACTCTAAAATTCCAAAAATTATTTTTTTTTCCACTTTAAAACCTAATTTTACACATCATCTCGGCTTTCTCTTAATTTTTCACCCCAAATATTTTTTTTTTTAATTTTTTCATTTTTTTTTTTTCATTTTTTTTTTTATTTTTTTTATTTTTTTAATTTTTTTTAATAATATCTAAATTTTTTTTTTTTTAACACACTCTTTATATTTTGTTTTTTATTTATAAGATTAATTTTATTATATATAATAACAAAATTACAGTCATATTCTTTTTTAATGCATAAATTTAATGATATATAAAATTTAATAAAAACAATAGCAATAATTATAAAATGGGTGATACAATTCAGGGAAAACTTTTTGTAACAAGTAAGTTTTTTTCTATTTCTATTTCTATTTCTATATATTTTTTTTATTAAAAATGATTTTAATTTTAATTTAATATTTTGTTTAGTTTTACAGGCACAAAATTTAAAGATTAAAGAGGACAAAAAAACAGCAGCTGAAGAAATTGTTGGAGCATTTTTAGACCCATTTTCATCACCAATTTTTCAATCAATTGAAAAGATTCAAAATTTTTCAAAGACTAATGTATTACCAATTTTTACACAGTTATCACAACCATCTGCAGCCAGTGGGGATGGTAATCCAACACCAGAACCTTCAAATAATAGCAACAGTAATATAGGTGTAGTTTGCACAATTAATACTGAGGGGCAAGAATATAAAACAGAAACATCACCTGATGTTACAGAACCAAAATGGTCAAATCAATCACATTCTTTTAATATTATGCATCCATGTGCTCTAATCAAATTTCAAGTATCATTAAACAGTGAAAAAGAGTCATTTCTTATTGGTGGATCCATTATTAATCTTTTAGATGAGCCACATCTTTGGGAACAAAAGCCATTCGCAAAATGGATAAATTTAACTAAAAAGCAAAAATCAAAGAAGGATAGTTTAGCAACATCAGGAGATACCACCCCAACCGAAGATGGTACTACAAATGATGGGGAATCAAATAATAATAATAATAATAGCAGTGATGCAATAACAGAAAGAACACCATCATCCTTTTCAAATGAATATGATCAATTTTCAGACGAAGATGAAGTTGTTGGTAGAATAGAAGTACAATTTCAATATAAATATCGTAGAATTTGGGATCCAATTTATTGTGGTAAAATATTATTATTAGAGAATAAATATTCAGAGGCACTCGAACAATTTAAAGAAGCTATCGGAATCTACCCACAGGATCCATTTCTTTACTCTTTGTTGGTAGATTGTTATTTAGGTTTAAAACAATTCAAACCAGCAATCGAAAACAATTTATTATTTATTAAATATGATAGAGGTGTTGAAGGTTTAATTAAAATGGCTCAGGTTTTAATGGAGGTTAACGAATTAGAGAAGATTCAAGGTTTACTTGATAAAGCATTCAAAATATCACCAGGTAACACTAAAGTTAAATATTGCCAGTTACAATTCAATCATTTCGTAGAGGTCGATAAAGTTAATAAGGCTATCGAGCAAGGTTATGATGAATTTAAAAAAGAAGATTATGCATCCGCTGCCCAAAGTTTTGGTAGAGCACTAGAGTTTAATAGCAATAGTACTATTTTATATCATCTTAGGGCACTTTCACATTTGGCTGCTAGAAATCAAAACATGGCCACTCAAGATATTAATCAAATTTTAGAAATAGATCACAACTGGTCAAAGAATGATGTTATACACTGTGGACATTTGTTAAAGGATGGTCAAATTAATGTAATGGCAAAGAAACGTTGGTTTACATTGAAATCCTACTTTTTATTCTACTATGTTGATCAAAATGATCTTAAACCACAAGGTATGATTTGTTTAGTTGATTTCGGTTGTGCACCTAAACCTGGCCAAAAAGTTAAATTCCAATTGCAAACTAAAGAACGTACATACCATTTTAAAATTGTCGATGATCCAACCGGATATGACAAATGGGTAATTTCACTCGGTAGAATATCAAAAATAAAATCTGTACAATTACCTTCAATCGAAGAAGCCAAATCTTCAATTATTTGGAAGAATGTTTACAACAAGAAAGAGAAAACTGCATTTATGCTCCCAGATGTCATGATGCTTCCAGAACAATTCTTTGTCGAGTCTGGTCGTTTCGCTTTGACTTTTGGTGATAAAATTATTTCAAAATTAACAAGTATTAATCTTTCAGAGTGCCAAATGACAGGTTTCCTCTATAAGATGGGCCAATTAAATAAAGAGTGGAAGAAGAGATTCTTTTTCATTCAAGGTACAAATTTATATTATGCAACAGTAAAAGAAAGCGAAATCGAAAAAGGAGTAGAATCAGTTTCACCAACAGGTAGTTTACCATTAGAGCGATCAAAAATTGATCAATCACCAAGCTCTACCAATAAAACAAACTCTTTTGAGGTTATTAGTGCATTCCGTAGAAATATTTTATTAGCCACTGATAAACCTGAAGATAAGGAAAAATGGGTCAAAGCAATTTCAATTGCTTCAGGTATGCAAGTTGTTCAAAAAGAAGAGTCTAACGAAGATAAAAAAGTTTTACCATCATCCTCAGCTTTATTAAAAAATAGAAGAAATATTAAATCATTAAGATCGGTACCAGTTGTTGTTGTACAACAACAAAAAACTAAAAAACAAGGCGATGAAGAAGAAGGTTACAGCGAAAGTGATGATGATAATAGTAATAATAATAATAACAATAATAATAACAATAATAATAACAATAATAATAATAATAATAACAGTAAACAAAATGATGATGATATTGGTTTTGATGGAGATGTTGTATCAAATTATAGAAATCCCAGCAGTAGTAATAATGATAGTAGCAGTAATGTTTCAGATCAATTAGCAGATTTGACCAGTGGACCAACAAGAAAAAAGAAACAACCTCAAAATAAAAAAATTACAGAAAGCGATATTTCATCGACAGAGAACAGATATTTTTCAAAATTCAATTTACCAACAAAAATAAATTCTCCACCTCCAACAATTGTTTCAAAGTCAAAATATAGAGAACCAACACCATCATCATCATCATCAAATGACACAACTACAAACAATGGAGAAGAGGTAGTTGTTGAATCTCTTGAAAGTATTTTAGGTGAAGAGGAAGTCCCATCAACAAAATATTCAATTAACGACGATACTAAATATTATGACGAAGAGCAAAACGAAAATAAACCTTTAATTAAAAAGAAAAAATCAAAAGAACAATCCGAAGATGGTGATGACGAAAGATGTTGTAAATGTACTATTCAATAAATTTAAATTAAATTTATTATATTAATAAAAAAAATAAAAAAAATAACTCAATATATTTTTATATTTATTTAAAAAAAAAAATAAAATAAAAAAAAAAATAAAAAAATTAGTTTTTTAAAAACTATTTTTTTTATTTTTTAGATTTTTTTTAAAAAAACTGTTTCCAATTATTTTTTATTTGTTTTTTTTTACCATCAATTAATATAAAAATAAATCAAAGATGAAAAACATATTTTTAACAGGCGGTAGCGGATTTTTAGGAAAATATATTATTGAAGAGTTAGTAGAAAATGGTTATAATGTTTTTGCATTAAGTCGATCAAACTCGTCAAGTAAAGTGATGAGTCAATTGGGTGCACAGATTAAAATGACCTCATTGCATGATGAAGAAGGATTAAAAGAAGCAATTAAGGGATGTGATGTAGTTATCCATTGTGCAGCTAAATTAGAAACCAACTCAGATTCAGTCGAAGAACTATACAGAGATAATTGTGATGCAACAGAATTATTATATAAAGTCTCAAAACAAGTTGGTATTAAAGTATTTTTATTTATTAGTAGTGAAGGTGTTATAATGAATGGTGAGCATATTAATGATGCTAGTGAGGATACACCATATCCTCCATTAGAACAACTCGGTTGGTATAATAAAAGCAAAGCAATTTCAGAACAATACATATTAAATCAATCATCGACATCAAATGAAAAAAATACAAACAGAAATAGTGGTGGCAACAATATGAAGTCTATTATAGTTAGATTACCTTTGGTTTGGGGACCAAGAGATAATGTTTTAGATTACTTGGTAGGGCTATGCAATAAATTTCAATGGTTCTGGATTGGAGGAGGAAAGAATTATTTATCAATTGTACATGCCAAAAACGCAGCATTAGGAATAAGGTTAGCTTTTGAAAAGGGCGATGACTCTGATATCTATCATCTTACCGATGGACAACCAGTACAATATAGACAATTTTTTACAGACCGTTTCTTAAAGAAAAATGTTCAATCTTGGAAACTTTATATGTCACTCCCAATACCCTTTGCTTGGTTTTTAGTTTGGTTTATGGCTATAGTTTGGAAACTTTTCAACCTCAAAGGTTTACCATTATTAACAAAAACAGGTTTAATTTATTCATCAAAAAATTTTACAATTTTAGATTATAAAGCAAGAAATAAATTAGGTTTTAAAAACAAAATATCTTATAACCAAGGTATGAGCGAATTATAAGATAAATAAAAATAAAGTGTAATAAAATAAATAAATAATGTAAAACTCTTTTTTATTTTTTATTTTTAATATTTCTTTTATTAAATTTTTGGTATATATTTAAAAAATTTAAAATGAAATAAACAAATACCCATTTTTGTGATTAAATCTGTTTCTTTAATATTGAAATGGTTATTATTTATTATTTTGAATTTTTAATTGTTCTTTAAAAGGAAAAATTTTATTGTTTTCAATAAAGTGATTATAATTACAAAATAATATGATTTTTTTTTTTTATGTTTTTTTTTTTTTTTTTGATTTTTTTTTAATTTTTTTTATAATTTTTTTTTTTAATTTTTTTTTTCGTATTAGTTTTTTCAAAGCATCACAGACGATCATTCAATATCAGTTTTTTTTTTTGTTTAAAAACATTGTATATTTCATAAATTAAAAAAATGAATTTTGCAACAAGAGCAGCAATAAGAGTGTCAACTAAAGTTCGTGTTTCACCAACATTCACTACTACTGCATCATTTTCAAAAGTACCAGCATCATTTGCTGCCTCTACCAATAATGTACCATCATCATCAACTTCATCATCAACTCCAATTGCCTCATTTTCAACAAAATCATCCCCAATTATAAATAACCCAAATTTCAACAAAAATAGTAAATCAGTTTCATCAATCGAATTTTTGTTATCATCTGGTAATTTATCATTTTATTATGCAAACCGTATTGAATTATATATATACTAATCCTCAATATTTTTATTTTAGACGATGACGGAGTATAATCTTACCTACATTAACAATAATTATAATAACAATTAAAAATAATAACTGAAAAAATAAAAAATAAAAATAAAAAATATATAATGTAAAATTTTTAAACAAATAAAGAACCAACAACCAAAACAACTAAACAGAATTTATTTATTAGATATATTTGGATATAATTTCCAATGAAGTTCATAGAGGAACCTTTTAATCAAACCACACAATAAAAAATCACCACACTTTTTTTTTAAAAAAAATTATCTCGATTATATGTTTTTTAAAATGAATATAAATATAATTTATTTAATTAGTTTTATCTATTGTTAATTTTAATTTATTACGGCAAATATCGAAAAGAACATAACCTAAAAAGAAAGAGGAGTAATGGTTAGAAAGTTTTTTTATTATTTAGATTGAAATTTTATTGAATTACTTACCAACACTAAGACCAAAAGAACCTGAAACACACATTACAAAAGGTCTAACTACATATCTTAAAATTGAATTAAAGAATTTATTTGAATATCCTTGATTTGAATCCTCATTACACTCATTATTATAATTATTACAATTATTATTATTATTATTGGTATTGTTGTTATATTCGTTATAATAATCTTGGTTCATTTGTTGTTGTTGTTGTCTTTCTTGTTGTTGTTGTTCACCAATCATATTCTCGAATAAAGAACCTACTGAAAAATATTTTTTATTATTGTTATTATTTTTATTTACACCTTTTGAATTAATATTACTGTTCGATTGATCACTAGAGGTATTTAAATTACTATTATTAGATGTATTGTTAACTGTGATGACAGGTTCAGTAATTGTTGGTTTTGGTGATGAAGGATTTGTGGAGTTACTATTATTATTATTATTATCAGCTGTGTTGTTAAAACTTAATGTTCTTTTTCTATTTTCCATTTTTTTTTTTTTTAAATTTATATTATTTTTTTTTTTTCTAATGTACAGATAATTTTAATAATTTAAATTAAAATTAATTTGATTGGTGCGATATATGTATATTAATTATGTGTGTTGTGTGTGGTGGTTTGTATATTTAAATGTGTGTTGATTTATATATATAACACTAGTAAAATATATGATGGGGGTAAAATAAAAGTAAAAATGATGGTTTAAAACAAATAAAAGTGAAAAAATAATAAAAAAAAAAATCTTTTTTTTTAAAAAATAAAAAATTTGAAAAAAACAAAAAAAAAAAAATTTAAAAAAAGGTTGAAATAATTTTTATGTGTTTGAAATAATAAAAGTTGATTATCGGATCAATGATTAATTTAATATTTAAAAAACAATAACCATAAATAATACTTTGGTGCCAATTTATTTTTTTTTTTTCTTTTTTTAATTTTTTTTCCTATTTAATATTAATTTTCTTTTTGTTTTTTTAAATTTGTGATTCTATTATTTTTTTCTCTACTTCTTTTATTACTAAACCAGTTATTACGTTGATACTTTGATAAATCTACTAATGCTGAAATTATAATTTTTTCCTCTTCGGTTGGATATGGATCTAAAAATTAAAAAAAAAAAAAAATAATTAGATTATTGTTGTGTGTAGTGTTTATGTGTGAGATACTTTACGATCAGAGTTATTTTTAAAATAATTTGTAATGAATTTTTTATAATTTTCATTTAAAGTTCTACGATTCTTTTTCAAAGTTGATAGATAGTTTACAGAGCCTAAGGATTCATCATTTGGTTGTTGATCTGGAGAGGAAGAGGTAGAAGAGTTGAGATCCAATGTTGATACTGTTGATGGAATTGTATGGTCCATATTTTGGGGTCTTAGCTGGTAGAGGAAATCGAATGCCAAACATTTTTGATGTGAAATTAATAATGCAAAAAAACCAAATAAATGGTTTTTTTGGACTATTTTATCTTGATCGTTGAAAAGGTTTGGTCTAATTATCGATTGAATGGATTGAATGGATTGAATGAGTTGTAAATGATCTGATCGTAATAATTCGATGGTCTTTATCTCTTTAATAAAAATCTTTTTTAAATTGTCAACACTCTTTTTAATAATTGGACTTCTGATATCGATACGTTCTTGTTGAATATAATTATCTAATGAATAATCTAATGATTTAAAATTTAATTTGCTAAAATCTTTAAATCCAATAATAATACCATCACCACAACCTTTATTACTATTATTATTATTATTACTATCAGTATCGCTATCATTATTGGTTTCGCTATCATCCCTTACTTGTTCTTTGCTCTTTCCACACATTATTGGATTTTCAAAAAATTCTTTTAAAAATTCTTTTCTGGACCTATCAATATCTTGATATTGGTTTGTAAGTTTTTCAATTTTGATTTTAATTAATTCTTGTTTTTCTCTAATAATATCAAGATAGTTAATATTTAAAATGTTATTTCCATTAATAATGCTATTATTATTGGTGTTATTTCTATTGCCTCTTCTGCTTGTATTTTTGGTAGTTGATAGTTCATTGAGTGACTCTAAATTGTTTTCACTATTATCACAATCTCTATCTCTTTTTCTTTTACTGTTATCTTTATCTTTTTTTTTATTATTATTATTAATATTAGTATCATTATTATTATTATTATTAATAATATTATTATTATTATTATTATCGATAATATTTTTACTGCTATCTAAATTAATGTTATCATTATTATCATTGTTTTTATCTTTTAGGGCTGTTTTATCGCTATCATAAGCAAGAGAAATATTGGCTTGTGAATTTGGAGGCGAATAGGGTAAACTAGTAATCTGAATGGGTGATGCATGATAATTGTTTTGAAATGAATACATTGGAGGTTGGTTTTGAGGGAAGAGAGGTGATAAAAATTGTTGTGGGAGTTGAAGGAAAGAGAATTGTTGTTGTGTTGGGATTAATTGAAGTGGCTGGTATTGTAGAAACGTTTGTGGAGGTGATATAAAAATTTGGGTTTCAGTCTTTAAATCTGATGGTAGATTCGGTGTAGTTGATGGTGTATATATTGGTGTGATATTGCCATCAAAAACTGGAAGTTGATTTTCAATACTAATATTATTTTTATTACAATTTTGATTATTATTGGTATCATTAATATTATTATTTATAAAGTTATTTAATATTAAACTTGGGATTGGATAAATTATTGAAGAGGAAGGATTACTAAATTCATTTGAAATAAATGTTGGTGTGTTGCTATTATTTCTAATATTGTTATTGTTGTTACTACTTTGGTTGTTATTGTTTTCATTTAAATCCAGTTCTTCTTTTGTTTGTGAACCAATTAAACTTGTGGTAGTTGCAATATAATCATGTTGATTAGCTGTTTGATTATTTGTAATACTATTACAAATATTAATATTACTACTATTATTACTATTATTATTATTACTACAATCTAAAAAAAAAAAAAAAAAAAAAATGAAAAATGAAAAATGAAAAATGAAAAAAAAAATATTAATATTTATTTAAAATTTATATAAATATTTTATTTTTATATGTATATACTTACAATTTATCATAGTTGTTCTTTAAAGATGATTGTATATAAAATAATTAAAAAAAAAAAAAGATATCTTTTTTCTATTGTTTATTTTTTTTTATTTTTTTTTTTTTATTTTTAAAAATAAAAATAAAATAAATTTATTATAATTTTCACCCATGGTTATATTTAAAAAAAAAAACTATACACTTTTAATAACTAAACATATGTTTATTAAAAATGAATTTACCAAACCCATCAAACACATACTGAATATTATTTATTATATGTTGGTTGAAAATTTGAAATATATCTTAATAATATTAAAAACCAAACTTTTTTTTTTTTTTTTATTTTTTTTTATTTTTTTTTTTTTTAATTTTTTTTATTTTTTTAATTTTTTTTTTTTCCAAAACATATTTTTTTTTATTTTAAACAACATTAGATTTTTTTATCTTTTAGAAAATAAAGACTAAAAACATAAAAACCATTATAGGTTTTTGATATACTTAATATTAATTACTATTGCTATAATATGTATATTAAAACTATTAATTAATATAAAAAAAAAAATTCAAATAAAACAAAAGTTTTTTTTTTGTACACAAAAAACCACCCCACCATTTGCATACAAACACTCACACAATAGTTTTATTTTTTTTATAAAAATCAAAATTTTATTTATATACTACTTTAATAAAAATAGTATTGTTTTTTTTTTTTCATAATATACAATATATATATTTAGTTTATTATTATTTATTATTTATTATTTTTTTAATTTATTTTTATTTGTAAATATATAATGTATAAATATTAAAAAAGAAATTAGAGAATTTAAAGAAGAATGTCAAATAGTAATAATAGCAGTAATAATAGTGTAATAGTTTCATCTTCACCAATATTTTCATCATCATCCAACGTACCAAATAATAGTAATAGTAATAATAGTAACAATAGTAGTAATAATAATCAAATAATACACCATAACTATGAATTCGAATTATTTGTACAACAACCACCAGCATCATTAAATTGTCCATTACATAATGGCATATTTAATCAACCATTTATTGCAAAATGTGGACATACATTTTGTTCAAGATGTATATTAATAAAATTAAATAAAATAAATTCAAATAATAGTAATGGTAGTAACAGCAGTAATTCATCATCGTCATCACCAACTTCATCGCCAATCAACAGCAGTAGCAGTACAAGCACAAGTGAGTTGTTAGTTGGAATTTCAAATATTTCAATTTCATCTACAAATTTGAATCAACATAACAATCCTAATAATAATCCCAATAACAACAGCAATATTATGATATGCCCAATTGATAAAACACCATTAAAAGAGAATGAGTTTTTTCCAAATTTAGCACTATCTAGTCAAATTAATGATTTATTGGTTTATTGTCGTTATGGTATTAAAAAGAATAATAATGGAGATTTACTGCCTGATGATCAAGGTTGCCAGCAAAAAATTCGATTAGGTTCAAAATTAGATCATGAAAAAGTTTGCGATTTTGCAATTATAAATTGCCCATATAATAAACAATGTCCACCTTTAAAGAGGTATCAATTAAAACAGCATCAATTGTATGTATTAATAGATAATTATAATAATTTATTATAATAAATAAATATTAATATTATTTTATTTTTTTAGGGTTTGTAATCATATACATTGCCCACATAGATCAGCAGGATGTATTTTTGAAGGTTCTAAAATACAAATTGAAGAACATCTATTAGGATGTGTTTATGAAGGTATTAAAGATTATATACAAAGAAACGAAGAGCAAATTAATTTATTAAGAGGTCAATTAGAGGAAAAAACCACCGAAAATGATGTTTTAAAAAAGAGTATATTACAATTAACAGTAGGATTTAATCAGTTAGCATCGAAATTAGAAGCAAAAACCAACAAATTCGAAGGTACTTTAAGACATATTCAAGCATCATTGGAAGCCACACAACACCAATTATCAGAGACTGTGCATGACGTTAATCTAATTAAAAAGAATTCAAATTTAGAGACAGTGGATATAGTGGATCTTAAAATTCCATTACTCAAATGTAAAGGTACCTTTGTTGGTCATAATGGTCCCATTTGGTGTATGACGGTTACCAATGGAATGCTCATTAGTGGTAGCTCTGATATGAAGGTTAAAATATGGGATTTGGTAACATTAAAGTGTAAACAGATATTGGTTGGTCACGAGGGAATAGTTCACACATTGGCTGTTATTGGAAATCGTTTATTTTCAGGTTCATCAGATCAAACTATTAGGGTTTGGGATTTGGAAACATTCGAGTGTTTATCAGTCCTCAGAGATGATAACACTGTTTGTGCTTTGGTTGTAGCAGCAGGTTATCTATTTAGTGGGTCCTATCAACATATCAAAGTTTGGGATTTGGAAAGTTATGAATGTGTAAATATACTAAAAGGAAATAATCATTGGGTAAGAGCGTTAACAGTATCTGGTGGTTATTTATATTCAGGTTCCTATAATGTAGTTAGAATGTGGGATTTGGCAAACTTTGAGTGTGTCCAAACTATTACTGGTGGCTCTGGTAGTATTTATTCTTTGGCTGTTTCAAATCGTCGTTTACTTGCTGGTACTTATGAAAATACGATTGTGGTTTGGGATTTAGATAGCTACGAAGTTATTAAACGTTTAGATGGTCATATCGGTGCTGTATATACCTTGGCAGTATCTGGTCAAAGTTTTTATAGTGGTTCTTATGATTCAACTATAAAGGTATGGTCATTAGAGTCTTTACATTGCGTTCAAACAATGAATAGACATACCTCATCAGTAGAGTCTTTAGTGGTTAGTAGTGGTTGCGTTTTTAGTGGTTCAGCAGATAGTTCAATAAAAATTTGGAGATAATAAAAAAAAAATAAAAAAAAACAATAAAAACAATAATAAATAAATAAATAATAATAATATACAGATAATAATATTATTATAAAATTTATAAATATTTAAAACCTTGGTTCAATTATTACATTTTTTTTAAGTCAAAAAAAATAATTCTCACATAAAAAAAAAAAACCCTTCAAATAATTTTTTCCTTGGTAAATAAAGAATTACATCAATAGTTTTGTGTGTGTGGGTGATAGTGTGTTGTTTTTTTTGTGTGTGTTGTTATTTTTATAACTAATAAAATATATATATTTTTTTTATAATTAATAATATTAAAAAATAATGTTCTATAAATAAATTTTTTTTTTTTTTTAAACTCTTTTTAAATATTTTACAATATAAATAAATGTTAATAATAAAATATATATTTTTTTGTTTATTATTGTTTGGTTTTGTTTCATCATATAATTTCAATATCGAATTTGGGTCCACAGAAACATATAAAGATTATGAATGCGGTGGAGAAATAGACAAAAATCAAATCAGTGGTCGATCATACCCACCTTGTAAATCATTCACTGACCTTGGTTATAGAATTAGATCCATTATAGAAACTGATGAAGAGGATGTCCTTAATGTTTATATAGTAGTAAATAGTAGTAGTATCGAAAACCAACCCATCGAAATAAATGAAGAAGAGTATCTGGGAACAATAAACACATTTTCAAAAATTCAAATACAAGTAACTGATGGTAATAAGGAACAAATAAATAGTAATAGAGTCCACATATATAGGCAAACCAATACATTCTTTATTGGAAGTTCATCGAAGTATCCAAATTCATCAATAGTAATTAAGGGTTTATCTTTTTATAACTGGAATTCAGTTTTTCCTGATTCATATCCTGTTGTCAAAACGCAACAGTCATCTGTATATTTCGAAAATGTGGTTTTTTTCAATACAATTCATATTGTATTGAGTAATAGCATTTATTCTATTAGTTACTCTGATGTTAATAGTGGAGTGTTGTCAATTAGTAGCTGCCTTTTTACAAATATTTCAACCTCACAAGCTATAACTTTCATATATAAAACTGTTGGTGTAACAAGTTGTGTTTTTTCAAATAATAATTTCAATGGTGTAACATTTTATAATGGAGAAAGACTAGTGATCGACCAGTGCACATTTACAAATAACCAAATTCAGGTAGTTGATTGTTACAATTTATATTTTTTGGATTCAATAAATATAACTATTTCAAATTCAAATTTTTACAATAATTTAATAAATACAATAGTATCAATTAAAAATACCATATCAGTAGCGGGATATGCCCAATTAACTAATTTAAATGTATATTCAAATAACACAGTAATAGGTGACCCCCAGAATAGATATTTGTTTAAACTATCTCACAGTTCAGATAATCTAAAAGTCATATTTAAAGATATTAAAATTGAAGATATCGGTAGTTTGGACGAAAATAAATATACAGGAATGATATTTTATTCAGATAGTAACTCCACTATAGAATTATTGAATGTTCAATCGACAAATATCAATAACTTTAAAAATATATTAGATTTTAAAAACAGTTTTATAACAATCACCGATAGCTATATACCCTCACAGGATATTTTTATAAATGGGATCAATAATATTATCGAAACCAAAAATAGTGTATACAATTATAATGACAGGATAATAAATCAACTATGCAACTCTTTAAATGGTTCATTCTCTGATTACTGTAGTTATAGTAGTTTGAATTCAAACCCATCTCACCATTCAAATATTACCAAAGTCGCAATTATAGTACCGGTTCTACTCTTTGTATTTATTGTTGTGGTGGTGACTACCGTGGTGCTTATAGTCATCAAAAGAAGAAAAAAGTTTAAAAAGCAATTGGATCAAAAAACAAAAAATAAAAACAACATTATAAATGAAATAGATTATGAAGATAATGGAGAAATAGATATCGATGTTGCTAATGTTGGTGGTGATGGCGGTGACAGGGGTGGACCAGGTCCTAATTTCCTAAACGATGTTGAAGATGCCATTAATGATATAGATTAAAAATTAATTAATTTTCTTACTTTTTTAAATATATTAAAAGAAATTCTCTTCAATAATTTTCAGTTATTTAAAAAAAAAAAAAAAAAAAAAAAAAAAAAAAGTTTATATTAATTATACATCAAAAAAATATAAATTTATATATTAATCTATCATAATAACCAATTAACACAGATATAAAAAAACAATAAAAATAGACTTTGTTTATTAGGGAAAAGTGTGTGTATGTGTGGTTGTGTTTTGGTGTGGTAACTATAATATAGAATTTTTTTTAAAATCATAACATCATATCATTAACCACAACTTAATATTAATGCATCATACTCTATATACCCTTCTCAAATTGTTTATTAATTTGTTTGTATATAAATTTATTTTTATTTAGTTTTTTTTTTTTCTTTTTTTTTTATTTTCAAATTTTAAAATAAATTATTTTTTTTATTATGTGATCATATAAAAATAATAATAATAGAAATAAATAAAAGACATATTAAAATAATTGTACATTTTAAAATAAATGATTTAAATTAAATAAATTTATAAATAAACTATATTATTAAAAAAAATTAAAAAATAATAATAATAATAAATATAATAATAATAATAATAATAATAATAATAATAATAATAATAATATAATTTATATTTTATATTAGAAAAATGAAACTAATAATAATATTATTATTGTTATTTTCAATTTTTTTAATCAAAGTATCAGTTTCATATGAATTTTTAATAAATTACGAATCAAATATAGAATACTCGAATGGGGAATGTGGAGGGCCGATAGATTTAAATGATCAAATAAAATATCCACCTTGTAAAAATATATCAGATGCTGCGAAAAGGTCAAAGAAAATAATAAATAATAATTCAGATTTAATATTTTATATTGTAAAAACAAATCAAATTATAAAAGAAACCATGTACTTTAGTTTAATAGACTATTTTGAAAATATCAAAATTGTAGTGGTAGATAGTCAAAAGAATATAATAAATAAACCGTCTCAAGTAATCATCGATGGCCAAATAACAGGATTTCACTTTATAAATTTGACGAATAATAAAAGGAAAGAAAATAATTTAAATCAAACTGTATATATTAGTGGGTTCAAATTTATAAATTTTAATATTGGATATAGAGTTTTAATATCGAAAAGTTACAATAGGTTAATAGAGTTTAATAATGTCCATTTTTACAATTGTACTTCCTTGTTTTCAAATTATGCAGTAAATGTTATGTCCTTCAATGAAAATATTTCAGAGGATTTTGTGATGAACAACATCATATTGGAAGAAACGATGGTTCCCAACTGGTATACACAATTTAAAAATATAACAATTCTAAATAGCTCTTTTTTAAGCATCTATGGAAATATAATATCAGGAAATTCTAAATATTTCAAAATATATAATTGTACTCTTTCAAATAACGAAATGGATATTGAACAAGCACTCATTGCAATTAAAAATAAAAATGGAATTGTAGAAATAGATAATTGTAAATTTATAAACAACACCATATCCAGGGTTTTTTTTGGGGGGGATAACCAAATAGAGGGACAGCTAAATGTAACGATTTCAAATAGCATTTTTTTAGATAACAACTTTTTCCGGGGCGACCTAAATCATCCCAACTACTTTTTAACCATGGTATCAATGAAGGATGGATATTACATTAACTTTCGAGATACTGTCATAGATAGAAATATAATAAGCGAAACAACGGGTGGTTTAATTTTAGTGAGTCAAACAAAAGGTTATGGTTATATCAATTTCGACAACTTAAAAATTAGTAGTTACAACTTTAGTTATCCGATATGTGCCTCCAATACTATCATAAATTATATTAATACTCTAGAATTTAATAACAAATATATTGATGGTACAAACAACTCTATTCATATTATAGAAGACAGGAAACCATTTTTAGATACCAAAATTTTAATAATAATAATTGCTGCTGTTTTGATAGTTGTATTAATTTCAATATCTGCAATAATAATAATTAAAAGATTTAAATTTATAAATTATTTTAATAATTATAAAAAGAAAAAAAATGATATTAAAAATAAAAATAACAAAAATAATAATAATAACAATAATAATAATAATAATAATAATAACGATGATAATTATACCAATGGCCCAATAAATGACTTTCTCCAAAACCATGGCTCATCCGATAATATTACAACCATAAGTGACTCTTTCTCAAGTATTAATTTTGATGAAAAAGACTCTGCGATCGTTGATAATTAAAATAATAAATATTTATTTATATTTAATATATTTACTTTATCATATATAATCATACCCCTATTGATCTTCACTTTTAATTTTCTTTATTTCATTTTTTTTTTTTTTTTTAAATTTTTTTTTCATTTTTAAAAAAAAATATTTTTATTTTTTTTTATTTTTCATAAAACCCAAATAATAAAAACAAATAATTTGTGTGTTTATTATTTATTTGTTTTATTAAATAAAAAATTAAGATGACATATTACTAACACAGTCCTTTCAATAAAAATATAATAATTTTATATTTAATCAAAATATTATTGTTTATTATTTTATTTATAATATAATTCATTGTTTCTCAAATAATAAAGATAGGTGTGGGTATATTTATTATTAATGTGTTTATTTAAATAATTCCCAAATAATTTTTTTTTTAATTTTTTTTTTAATTTTTTTATTTTACATGTATATTCTATTATTTTAAAGAATAGTTTTATTTACTAATGTTTTTTAGACAATTTCTTTTTTTCTTTTTTATTTTGTTTTTTAAAGAAGTGTCCTATTCATTTTCGTTTAATTATTATATAGATTACCAGTCCAATCAAATTTATAATAATAATAATTGTGGTGGAATTGTCAATAAACAACAACAACAACTACAGCAACAACAATATTTTCCACCATGTAAATCAATTAAAGATACAATTAAAAGAATAAAAGAGATAAATATTAAAGATATAAATCAAAATGATACATTAAAAATATACATATACAATAATAATCAACAAACAATCTATGATACTTTTGGAACAATAGATATGTTCAATTTAATAGAGATCACAGGATTAAATGATTCTGTTGTAATTGATGGAAATAATAGTAATAATAGTTTTATAAAAATTAAATCACCAACTAATAATAAAAGTGCACCAATGATTACATTTAGCAATATTAAATTTCAGAATTGGGATTATAGTATAATAGAGTATGATAATCGATTTTCAATAAATTTAAATAATATTGAATTTGATAACACCGATATGGTGATATCAAATAATGATAACATCAACGATAAAGAGGACAGTATAGATACATCAATATCAATCAACAGTTGTAGATTTATAAATTTTAAAAAACAAACACCCTTTATAATTAATTTCAATAGAATTAATATTAATAATTGCAGTTTTTTAAATAATAATAATTTCAAAGGGTTTATTATCAGTAATAATAATGAAATAAAAGAAATAATAATCATAAATAGCGTTTTTAGTAATAATACATTCGAATCAAATATTTTATACTTTTTTAATAATGACTTATACATACCCAATATAAAAATGGATAATATCAGTATTATTGATAATAGTTTTAATAGTAGTTCATATTTATTTGAATTCGCAAAATTAAGTGGGCATTTAAATATATTGTTTAATAATATTGTATTGGATCATAATAGTAATAATAATAAAAGTGGAATAATTTTTTGTTCACAGCCATATTGTATAATAAATTTTAGCAGGGTAATAGTTAAAAATGATATTTTTAAAAATATTGCAAAAATAACTAGATCAGAAATAAAAATAATTAATAGTTCAATACCATCAGTAGATTCACCAATCGATGGTACTTTTAATAAAATAACATCAATAAATAGTAATCATTCCCAAATTACACCAACAAAACAAAATTGTAATAGTTTTAATAATATTACATATGATTGTGTTGACAGTAATACTGTATTAATTAAAAATAATGATAATAAATATAATAAAATAAAATTACTAGCAATTATATTACCAATATTAGTTTTATCGGGTATCATAGTAGTAATTGTTGTTTTTATTTTAAAAAAAAGAAAAAAATCCAACAGCACCAGGGGTTCAGAAAAAAAGAAAAATAAATTCATAGAAAATGAAATTGTTTTTGAAGATAACGGGGTTGGCGAAGGTGATTTGGCATCCAGCAGTGCATACGGTCCAGGTCCTAATTTTCTAAATGACAAAGAGGATGCAATAAATGACTAGAATATAAAGCACAATAAAATAAATAAACAAATAAATAATTTTAAACAAATAAAATTTTTTTTTAATTTTTTTATTACCATCTATTTGTCTATGTTTCTTTGTGTCTTAATTAACTCCTTTTGTTTTGGTTTAACTAATTCTTTTAAACATTTTAAAATATTGTAATAAATATCTTTAAATTATTTTTTATCTTTAAAAATAAAAAAAAATAAATTATTTTTTTAAATTCCAAAGAAAAAAAGGGTTATGTAAGTAATAGGAGGTTTTTTATTTTTAGGGCCTTAGTAATTCAAGACATTGCAAAGACTTTTTAAATTATATAAATAGGTAATTTAATTTCTTTTTTTTTTTTTTCAAATCAATTAGTTTAATAAATAAATTAACAACAACAAAGAAAAAATAGTTTTCAATAATTTAAAAAAAAAACTAAATAAAAATAAATTAATATTTATAATAATTTTTATATTGGGAAATAAAAAAATGAATAATTTTAATAATAATTTACATTCAAATCCAAATTCTCCACCACCAAACGAATCTACTGATCCAAAGAAACCAAAAAGTCCATAAAAAGATAACTGTTTAATCCATCAAAAAGCCGGTTTTTAAGGTATTGCTGGAGCTCCAATAAAAAAAAAAAAAAAAAAAAATAAATTATTTAATTGTATTTTTAAAACAAAACATTCAATTATTATTTTTATTATTAATTATTTTATTATTATTATTATTATTACCATGTATTTATCATTATAGCAATTAACCAAAAAAAGGGGTTATAAATATATTTATTTTTTTTAATTATTAAATTTTTTTATTTTTTATCTATTTTTTTTTAATTTATTTTTTAATGTTGTTTATTTTATTATTATTATTTTGTTTTATATTTTTCTGTAATAATAAATGATAGTAAAAAATAGTTTATTAGTAATATGTATATTATTTATTGTGTTATTAAATTGTTTTTCTTGTTATTATATAATAATAGATTATCATTCAAATATTAACTATAAAAATAATGAATGTGGGGGAATTATAAATAAAAACGATACATTAGAGTACCCACCATGTAAATCGATAAAAGATGCTGCAAAAAGGTCTATTCAAATTGAAGAACGAGCAA